ACAAATACGGTTGCCCTGAGCGTCAAAGACCGACCTACACTCCTCAGCTTTGTGTGATCCCCTCTTGCATCGCCCACAAACATATGGTTCTTCATTCCTAGGGCGAGGCCTAGCATCTGCATTGTTTGGGCAATGACGTTTAATGTGTCCTGGCTCCCCGCAGGCAAAACACCCTTTAGCCTTACATTCCCCTTCTAACCCGCGAGGTCCCCTCTGCTGTACAGCCGCGGCCAGGAGAGCAGCCACTCCCGAGTTGGAGAGCGGCCCCCCTATCTCTCTGCATATCCTAATCCAGGCGTTGAGGTCCTTGTTCTTATGAGGAGCTATCGCTGCCTTGCACTCCTTTGTACATTGCTCAAAAATCAGCTGCCTTACCAGCGGTCGAGCCACTCCCGGATCAGAAAATATCTTATCGGCAGCATCTTGCATTCGGGCCACAAAGTCAACAAATGGCTCTGTGGTACCCTGAATTATTTTTGAAAGACACAAGGAGGCTGTTCCGGCACCACTTACCTGCTTCCAGGCGCGGAGCCCTATGGCATTGATTTGTTCATAGACAGCGCCGGGGAACTGAGTCTGATCATCAGCGTGCCGACCTTCTCCCATAAGCATTTCCTTGTTCCACCCCCGGTTTCCCCGACTGGCGTTTCTCTCAGCCTGCTCTGCAGAGAACTCTGCGTATCAGGCTCGCCAATCCAGGTAACTACCCGAGGGCAGACACGCCTTTGCCAGCTGAATCCAGTCCGCGGGGGTGAGGGGCCCAGAAGACAGGTTCTCCAGCATGGCAATGGTGTAAGGCGCAGTCGGCCCAAAGGTTGTAACTGCATTTTTAAGTTCTCTAATCTGCTTTATCTCAAAAGGCTCCCATGCATTACGTCCCTGGCCCATAGCTACTTGTACAGGAAATATCCCGTAGGGGCCACTATCTATCCCAGGTGGTGGATGTACCTCATGAGACAAACGTCCCCCCTGCCATAGCCGCCTGTAAAAATACCGACCCGCCGGCGGCGGAGCATAAGACGGCGGCCATGATTGGGCGGAAAATGGGGGCCCGTGCATCACTTCCTGTTCTGGTGAAGGGGAAGGGAGCTCCCGGGCGGCCGCCTCGCGGTGAGGGATCGCCTCCGGGAACAGCCCCCAAGGTGGGGCGGAAGGCTTCGCCTCCCTCTCGCGCCGGGGAGCGCTTAGGAGCTCTCTACTCCTCCGCAGACCAGGTTGAGCGGAGCGCAATTCGCGGCGCAACGCTGGGAAAGAACCCTGCGACTCCTTATCGAGCGACTTAGGCTCCTGACAGCTGGTCTCTTTGGCCTCCTTGCCATTCAACTTTCCCTCGTCCTCGGAGTCAGACGACTCCGAGGCTAGAGCCCCGTCCTTCTCCTTAGCATCTTTGTTCCCCTTGACGGGCCCCTCTCGGGAGCTCCCTGACTGGGCCTGCTCAGATACCCTGCGTACTTTTGTAAGCTCTTGAGAGCTTTCTCCACAACCACCCTCGCTCTTAGTGTTGCTACCTAGCATGTTTCCCATCTTTTAATATGTTACTCACCGCGTGAGGCCCAAGGAATCCGCCACTTACGCGTGAGCCTGAGAGGAGTCTAAAAGCCCTGTAGGTGCGCGCCACCCAGAGCCCAGGCTTATCCCCAACTCACCTGTCTCGCAGCTCTGTACTGGAGCGTTGTCCGCTGTCACGTCTCGGGGGTGATCAGTCCCCGTACGGGCCACCAAATGTCGATGTCGCTCCCGGCCGGCAGGAAGGACACACGACAAAGTCTGGCAGTGGACAACCTTTTCTTTTATTTTCCTTCTCCGTACAGCCTGCCCTGGGATCGCTCCCAGCCGAAGCCTCCTTTGGTCCGCTCCCCGCGGCTCCTTCTGGGCTTCTACTTCCGGGCTTCTTCTTCCCCCCCAGGGGTGGCACCAGTATATATACGGATACAGTGTCCAATCATGTTAAAGTAAGCAAGGCAAGCTGATTGGCTAACATCATCAGTTGCCAGGCAGACTATATTGTTGAGCGGGTTGCTTACGCGGTAAGCAGGAAACTAACGTGCTCGATGGGAGGGGTAATCTACCTCAGGCTTTACTCTTTACTACAGGCCTCACGTCCGCCAAGTAAGGCGACCGGGCTCGGGGCTACGGCTCCCAACAGTACTGCCAAGTCATATACAAAAATTTGAATTTTTTTTGAGCCAGCAAATATAAGTCTTTGTTGCTTCTTAGTTTCTGTTAGTATTATTCCATTAAGGTTCATTTTTTAGCAGTTTATTCATTGAATGTTTAAGCTGCCAACATGTTCTTTTAGCTTCTATGTATAGAAGGTGTAATGAAACATTCAAAACACTTTTTCCCCTACACACTTCGTTTAAATTTAATTTTAAATTTTGTCATGGATTAAGGTGGCCTTGGTGGTACACATGCATTTTCACACACACACACACACACACACACACACACACACACACACACACACACACACAGACAGACAAAGTGTACCTACGTCCGTAATCCCAGCATTCTAGGAAGCTGACTCAGTGATTTTCAGGCCAGCCTGGGCTACATATAGTGAGTTAAAGGCCAGCCTGAACTTTGTGATAAGATTCCTTTTACAAAACAAAGCACGATAAGACAAGACTTCCGTATGGTTGAATAATACATATATAGCATCATATCCTGGTAACATTGAAGATAGCTTAAATTGCTATTGTATATTTGTGGTACTTGTATAGAGTATGTTACTTAAATGTAATCCTATTTAAAGTACAATATTATATCAATGCCTTTAAGTAGTAAAGTGTAGGACTCTTCTACTAGGAACATTTCAGACAATGAAGATAATTGGAAAAGTGCCTTCAGGATCTGGAATTCACATCTGAAGGTTGAATTTGTTTCGAGCCTTTGATTCTGATCCAGTGATAGTTCTTTACTTCAGTATTTTTCTGTACTATACATTATAAGACTTAAAGCCTTCTGTGGTCTCCCTGTACGTATACTAAAGGCAAACTCACATTAATTAGTTTGTTTGTTTATACTGGAAATTGATGAATTTGCACTTCAATAGATTCTTAAACTCTTCACTGGCAACTTCAACGTAATATTTTGTGTGACATTATTAGGTTTATGACATTACATCATGTGCACAGGTTACTAGGTGGGGGTGCAAATATTTATTGTAGCCCTAACTTTTGTATTCAGGGTGTAGGTGATTATATATAGAGAACCCTTTCCTCTCCTTTTTGGGGTTCAGGAAGATTTATAATTATAATCTCAAGGAGAACTTACTGGAATTCTAGTCAGTTAATTCCAATGTGCCACTTCTACTGCAACCCAAGGTAAGAATAAAATCACTGAGGATATATACAGTTATGGGCAACCAAGGTGTCCAGGTCTAGCCAAGATGGTGGCTCACCAAAACAAAGGGTTGGCTTCATCCCAGAGCCATTACCAGGTCTTAGTAATTCTCTGTGAGGGGAGTGGCTTGGGATGAGTGACAGTGAGCATGGTGGGAAACTCGTGTCTACCATGATTACTGTGAACTGGGCTAGGAAGGAGGTCTGAAATCAAGAAATGCAGAGAGAGAGAGAGAGAGAGAGAGAGAGAGAGAGACAGACAGACAGACAGACAGACAGACAGACAGACAGAGAGCCAGGGGTAAGAACTGTAGCAAATCATTAATACATTTGTTTGTCTACCTTTATACTTAACTATGAAAATTATAAAATGAACCTGTTTTATCTATAGAGATGATGCAGTAATCCAGAATTCCTGACTAGTCATGATTTTCATTGCTTTAAGTTTGATCAGCATATTGCAATGTTTCACATTTTGTTTCACTGTCGTCTCTTGTGGTACTGTTCTGCCATCTAGTGGAAACATATGTCCTTCAGAATATACTTTTCCAGATTAGCTACCATGCCTTGAGTATTTTAACATTAGAAATAACAGTTTAGAACTTTTCAGCTTTGTTGGTTGATATGCCATTCCTTAGAACAACATTTGTCCTAACGAAGAAATTTGTACACATAAAATTTGTGATAAATGAAGGCCTTATAGATATCTTTACATATGATTTACTGAGCATTAAAATCTGCTGCTTTTCTGCAACAAGAAATACTATCTTCGTTACTGAGACTTTAACCACAGCGTAGTATTTTATCATCATTTAATATTAGAGTAATTTTTTAGCCAAGCGTAATGACACACGACTGTAATTCTAGCACTTATTCATTCCAGCACTTAGAAGGCTGAGGTAGGAGGGTCTGTGCAAGTTTCAGATCAGGCTGGGCCAGAAAGTAAGCTCAAGGCCACCTTATACTGCATAATGAGACCCTGTCAAAAACAAAAAACAAAACAAAACAAGGCAACTGCAAAAAGGGTACTTACGGCCCAGTGCCAACCCTTCCACCTCAAATTCTATTCTTTTATATCCACCTTATAAGACATCAGTTATTTGGTGTAACACAACCAGTACACATGCATTAGATGATGAATGTTAATGAAATGGTCAAATGGAAAAGGGTCTTCTATAAAAAAGGTCACTAATTTACACATTTCATTTGAAGACTTATTTGTGGTTCACTTAGATATAACTGAAATTCAGAAAGTTATCAATAATGGAATCTCTTGTCATTCTTATTGAGCAACAGAGATTGTGCCTTACTCTTCGTGGGATTCAGTATGCATAAGTTTAGTAGAAAACATTTCTGTGTTGAAGTTGGGCATTGACTTGAACTGTGCGATTGTTTTCAGTATGCTAATTTATGATACAGAATGCTCAGAAAGATTTTTTGGGAGGTATTTTTGAGACATGGTTTAATTATGTTTTTTAGGCTGATCTTGAACTCTTATTGCCTCCACCTTCCAAGTCCTGGGATTACAGCCATGTGCCAGCACGCTGGGCTCCAGAAAGTATTTCTGAATTATTAGAGGATGCAAATCATTCTATTGTTTAGCACCTTCACTGAGATATGCATGTTTTGTAATATTTTCATTATTCTTTTTCTTAGTTGCTGATGTATATTTAAGATGAGTGGATTAGGAGAAAACTCTTTGGATCCACTGGCCCCTGATTCACGAAAACGCAAGTTGCCATGTGATACTCCAGGACAGGGGTAGGTGACTCACATGGGATGCTTTACCACAGCTCCTTTATCCTATCTTTGAGATTTTTCTTTTTTAATTAAAAAATAATTTTTAAATTACATTTCAACTTCCTTTATTCATGATATTACTTTGTTAGATTTAGGTTTTTATTTTTCTCCTTTCTTGTAGCAGTATTGAGGATGGCACTCAGAGCCTTGAACATGTTAGACAAATGTTTCGCCTTTGAGCTTCATTTTAGCCTCTCTTCCCTCTCCCATTCCTACTCCCCTCAGTAAGCTGGGATCTCAGTAAATTGCACAGACTGGCTTAGAATTTGTTATCCTCTTGCCTCAACCTCCTTACTAGCCTTTATGTGTTATTCCACCATGCCTAACTAAAAAGTAAAAAAATTTTTCTTAAATAATGTGATTTTCCTATGTATAGCGTATACAGTGGTACCTTAGTTCACAAACTTAATTACACTGTTGTGGAGAAGATGCAGAGTTAATGAAACTTTCCCAAATGCTTGTTTATGAACTAAATTATTTGCAAACAAAATGTTTATTGATTGAAATTCCAGTGTACAGCATTCTGATGAGTTTTGTATCTTTTTAAATGTAAAAGAAGCTTTATTGCTGATTCAATTAAAGGGATATTTAATAGTCCGGTATTTCAAGAGTGAAAGGTGCAGAAGTTAGGGAAACAGATCAGTGTTGTTGCAAATAGTGTTTGATATTTATAAGTGTATAAATTTATATTTTGAGCATTTTTGAGGGTTCATCATTTTTCCCCTGAATGATATTACAAGTTTAAGAATGAGAAATGAAATACCATAATCTGTGCAGCGATTCTATGTAGCTTTAAAAGTATTTGCCAAGGTCAGTGCCAAAGAACTTTATTATGGCACTTTAGGGGTAGAAAACATTCCATACTTAATATTAAATTTTCACTAATAGTAAGTACCTGGTTGTTTTTAAACCTTTATAAAGTAAAGAAAAGATTATTATTCTTTTTTTTCCGGATGAGTGAATTGAGTCTAACTTCCCAGGGCCTCTTGGCAGAATCAAATTTAAATTGGCATGAATTTTTTTCTACAGTGGACTACTACTTTATTGTAATATTTAGGTAGTTTTCTAGATTGGTTCACACATAAAAGTAATGTTAGAATCGGGATCTACTCACCACTCCCTCCCCGCCTCCAACCTCCCCTCTGCACCACTCCTTTTTGAGAGAAGCCTATCATCGAATTCATGATGGAGCCCAGGCTGGCCTGGAAGCTGTGTTTCAAGTGTTAGGCCTGCTGGCCTTGGCATCTTAGCTAGCCTGCTCACAGCTTCTCTGTGATAGGTATATCATGGGTTTTCTGTCCTTTTAGTCTTACCTGCAGTGGTGAAAAGTGGAGAAGAGAGCAGGAGAGTAAATATATTGAAGAATTGGCTGAACTGATATCTGCAAATCTCAGTGATATTGACAATTTCAACGTCAAACCTGATAAATGTGCAATTTTAAAGGAAACAGTAAGACAGATACGTCAAATAAAAGAGCAAGGTAATACAAAGTTCCTACTGTGGGGTCCTTCTCTTCTCCTTTCTTTCTTCCCTTTCCTGTAACTGGGGATCAAACCGAAAGCCTCACAGGTGGTGAGCAAGTGCTCTACCACTGATCCGCAGCCGTAACCCTTACATTTGCCTTTTGGGCTACCTCATTTATGTAAGAGCTACAGGTGATTCAGGGTAGGGATTACAGGATTGGCTAAGTGAGGAAACAGTGAGCAGAGAAATGGAAGTCAGTCAGTGTTGCTCATCTTGTCAGATTTAGCTTCCTTTTTAGAAGCCACAGGTTAGTACCAGTAAAAGACAATTTAGAGTATCTTTTACCTTCCTGCCTAACTATAAAGTTTAGTATTTTAAAATGAGGGCATGTACGTCTTTGTGCTTGTGTACCTGTGTGTGTGAACTGTTTTAACTTAAAACAGCTAAATGTACTACTATTCATAGTATTGCCTTTGGTTGTTCTCACCTCAGGAAAAGCTGTTTCCAATGATGATGATGTTCAGAAAGCTGATGTATCTTCTACAGGACAAGGAGTTATTGATAAAGACTCTTTAGGACCACTTTTACTTCAGGTAAATAAAAAAGGTTTGAGCTGTCCAAAGTGTTGTACTTTGAATATAGTCTAAAGTGATGAAATAGTCAGAAGTCCTGGTTAGGAAGTGAGTACAGCAGCAACCAAAAAGACTTTGCTGTGAGACATAACTCAGTATTTATTTTGAAGACAAGGATGGTAAAGTGTTCTTATATTTACTGTATCTGTATATATCTGCAGCGATTCTTTTCTTCTTTTGTACTGGGGATCAAATTCATGACCATATGCTTGCCAAGCAGGCATGTAAGCCACAGAGCTAAATACCAGGCTTCTGTCTATCAATCAAATAATGGAACGGTCCTGCCCCCACTAAAAATACAAATGCACATTGAGAAAGCACACATACAAATAAACATACAAAACTAAGGAAGTTGAGGAAAGGTCACACATTTCATAAAAGTGACCCAGTATTTTACAGAGGTAGAAATTTTATGTATTTTAGCTCTGAACTTTTTTGTGTATTTTTGTATGAATGTATGGGCATACTTCAGGTTTTTTTTCTTTTTATTTTTGTTCTTTGGGAAGCTCAGGAGATTGAACCCACTCTCTCCTACATGCTATGCAAATTCTGATATGCTCTGCTAATTTTTGTGCTGCTAGAAATCAGACCCAGAGCTTATGTATGGTAGGCAAGGACTTTATAACACCCTTCTTTTATTGTATATTCCTTTTTTGCCGTTTTGTTCTGTATTGTCGAACTTTTTAAACTTGGTTTTATAATTAGTTGTGTTACATAGATTGTGTTAACCTGTAGCACTCACAGTGTATTAACAAGTCTAAAGCCCTTCATAATAAGTTTATCTGTCAAATTGTTTTTGTTTTAATTTGTTTCTTCTGCCTTTTACTTGTATTGCTTTTGTTTGTTTGTTTGTTTATAATGGAGAATGGAAATCTGGGCATTACACCTAACCAGGTAGGCACTGTGCTGCCGAGCTACATCCCTGGCCTTACTTAATTAAATTTTAAGTTCCTATTTGTAAATTCTGATTTATAAATAGCATAATATTTCTGTAACCTGACTTTGGTATCAAATGAGAAGAACTAAGTATGATTTTCTAGAGCCCCCCCCCCCCCCCCCATATGAACCCAGAGTTTGCCGAGCACTGCTGTGCTACATCTCCAATCCTTTTCACCCCTCTTCATCTTTTTGAGACAGACTGTCATTTAGGCTGGCCTTGAACCCAACATTGTAGTCCAGGCTGTCTTGGACTTGCAGTGATCCTTTCTTTGGCCTCCCCAAGTACTAGGATTACAGGTGTGCCACCTCGCCCAGCCAATCGTTTTTATTTTAATTACTCTGTGGCCCAGGCCGACCTCCGTTCATGATTCTCTTGCCTTATTTATTATTTTTTGTGGTGATTCACGGGAGTAATCTAGGGGTGCTCACTGAACTACATTCCCGGAACTTATTTAGCAGCTTTTCACTAATTTGCCAGGTAGTACTTAATACTCAATCTTGTGATCCTCTTGCTTCAGTTTCCCTCATTGTTGTAATTATAGGCATGTGGTGTCACACTTGATAGCTACCCTTACCTATTTTTCGTATTTTAACTTTGTCCAAGTTTCATAAGTCATTAAGTTGCCCAGAGTGTGCCTCTCCCTCAGCCTGTTAAGGGTGTTAGGATTTTGCAATAACAGTATTTTTTTAGTCTGTTTTGTTTTTGTGTTTTGTGTTTTGTTTAATTTCAACATACGTGAAAGTATGGACACCTAATTTGAAGAGAATGAGAGACACTATGACAGCTATTTATTTATGTCTGGTCTTGAAGACCTAAAACAACTTCATCATCGTGTTTGGATCAGTTTTATACTATGTTGTTTTGTATGAATTCAATGTATGGGAACATATGGACAATTATTTGGAAGAAAACAAGAGACTATGATAGTGAAGGTCTCTGGTTGTCTTGCTTTGAAATCTGTGTCTCTTACATTGCTTTCTTATGTTCTGTTTTGTTGTGTTTAATTTTATCCTCTTTTACAAAAAAAAAAAAAAAAAAAAAAAAGTACTAGGATTTTAAGAGTGAGTCCACTATGCCTGGCTTATAGTAACAATTAAATAGTGTACCCTCCCTCCAAGGGCATTATTACTAAGTCTGTCTTCTTACTCTGCTAAGGCTACCAAAAGAGAATGCCACAGACTAGGTGTCTTAAACAAAAGAAACTGTATTGTAGCTTTGGAAGCTTAAAGTACAAGACATAGCTCTGATTGGTTTCTCTTCAGTCATCTTTCCTTGGTTTGTCACTCTATACTCAATGTGTCATTCATTTTTTGGTGCATGCATCCATGATGCCTTTCTTTCTTTTTTTAAAATCTCTTTCTTCTAAGGACAGCTGTCATACTAGGTTAGGATCCTGACCATATGACTTCTTTTATCCTTAATTACTTCCATCTCCAAATATTCTCACATTGAGGGAAAGAGCTTCAACATAGGAATTTTGAGGAGGGGAATACTGTTAAATGTGTAACAACCTATAGTAACATATACCGTTTTAATGTCTCCTTGTAGGCGTTGGATGGTTTCTTGTTTGTGGTGAATCGAGATGGAAACATTGTATTTGTGTCAGAAAATGTCACACAATACTTGCAATATAAGCAGGAGGACCTGGTTAACACAAGTGTCTACAGTATCTTGCATGAAGAAGACAGAAAAGATTTTCTTAAAAACTTACCAAAATCTACAGGTAGACTCTTAGTATTTTCCTTCATTATTTGTTAGAAAATTGCATATTTTTTTTTGAAGGAAACCAGATTATTAACCTTGTGTAGCAAGGTAAATGGTTATTAGAAAAATTTTCAAATATGGCCTCCATAAACTTAATATATAGAATATACATTGTTTTATGGCACATATAGCAAGATTTCCGTTGAAGTTGAAATTCATATGTTTTGTATATATTAGTGCTGTTTTGAAATGTTAGTGTAGATCATACCATGCAAACAAATGTAATGAGAAAATAGGCTTTTTTTTTTTTTTTTTTTTCCCTTGAGACTTGATCTTGCTATGAATGCCTGACTATTCAACTCTCGGGTTTAAACGATCTTTTGCCTCAGCCAGCTGAGTAGCTGTGACTACAGGCATGCAGTATCATACTTGGCTTATAGCTCCAGTTTTTGATTACACTGTAGACTGAGATACCAGATTTTTAAAAAGTCATTTCAATTTGTTTTCCAAAGTTAATGGAGTTTCCTGGACAAATGAGACCCAGAGACAAAAGAGCCATACATTTAATTGTCGTATGTTGATAAAAACAACACATGATGTACTGGAAGACATGAACACGAGTCAGGAAATGCGCCACAGATATGAAACAATGCAGTGCTTTGCCTTGTCTCAGCCACGAGCTATGATGGAGGAAGGAGAAGGTAAGAGAAGTCATATTTATGTTACCAAACACATACCTCCACTAGTTCCATTGTTCTAACTGTTATTTATTTCCTTGTCTTCGATCATAGAATGAATATACATTTTAAGAAACAATTATATAATCTTTATTTGGTTAAATTTTTTATTGTAGATTTGCAATCCTGTATGATCTGTGTCGCACGCCGTATTACTACAGGTGAAAGAGCATTTCCATCAAATCCTGAGAGCTTTATTACTAGACATGATCTTTCAGGTAAAAACTGTGTTCAAGTCTATGCTTCCATCTTGCATCTGTGAGCATATATGCATATCTTCAGTTTGAAAATTGCTATAATAGGGGCTGGGGCTTTAGCTCAGCGGCATAAGCACCTGCCTTGCAAGCAGGCGGCCCAATAAAAATGAAGAAGACCCCCCCCCCCCAAAAAAAATATTGCTACAATAAAGCTGAGGATGTTGCTCAGTGGCGCAGTGCCTGCCTGGCTAGCGTGAGGTGGTGAGTTTGATTCCTGCCCCCCCTCCACCCCCAAAAAAGACAAAAGAGGAATTTGTTATAATAATTAACTATCTCTACAGTCTTCCTGATCATTAAAATGCTTATACCCACTAAGATTTACTATATATGTTCATTATATTCTTATTTCTTATAGAATCCTAAGTGAATTTTACCGCCATTCATAGCATATAATATATTTGGCACTTGAAAAATTAAACAACAAATATGGAGGCACAGTTTACTCCAAGTATCATTTTGCATCAGAATTTAGTATCATTTTTCTCTCTATTAATGCCCGTTCATTCGTTTTTCTTTTGTGGAATCAGGATTTGAACTCAGGACCTTTTAGTAGTTGTCAGTCGGGCCCTTACAAAAGCCCATTTATTCTAAAGAAATGCTTTCATGTCTGGGATAAACCTCAGTGGTACAGTGCCTTCCTGGCAAGTACACGGTCCTCAGTTTGATTCTCAGTAGCCAGCAGAAGAAAAAAAAGCTTTGAAAAATACAGATAATGAAAATTACAATAATTCTTAAATGTCAACAGCATAGAACTCATATGCCCTTTAGAGTTATTGTAATTTTTATTATCTTCATTTTTAAAAACAGTTTTAAGATTTATTTTTACACCCCACAGCGGAATGTATGAACATAAGAGCATTGGCAGGACTTTCTTCAAAAAGATAGCAAGAATTTGGAGTAGAGAAGGCAGAATAAAGATTTAATAAGCCAATTGGTTGGCAGCACTAAATACTGTTGGGAGGCTTTTATTTTAAATTTTTATTTTGTGTTACAGGAAAGGTCGTCAATATAGATACAAATTCACTAAGATCCTCCATGAGACCTGGCTTTGAAGATATAATCCGAAGGTGTATTCAGAGATTTTTTAGTCTTAATGATGGGCAGTCATGGTCGCAGAAACGTCACTATCAAGAAGGTAAAGACATTTGGATTGATTTTTGATCTAGATTGTTCAGTATGTTATAATACACATGACTGTAGGTGTGGGGCGAGGAAAATAATTTATCTGTTTGCTTATTCATAATTGGGTATCATTCTATAATTTAGTCTATCTTGAACTCACTACATAGCCCAGGTTGGCATTGAACTTGCAGTGATCATCATGCCTCAGTCTCCCAAGTGCTATTATTCCTGAGCCTATGTATTTTGGTTGTAATTTTGATGCAACTCTAGTCTTTCACTGGATTTAGAAGAAATTTTCTTTTTTTTCCAAGATGGGTTCACCATGTAGTTGTGACTGGCCTTGGACACACTGTATAGGCCAGCCTGGTCTGACACTGGCAGAAATCCTTGTGCTTCAGCCTCCCGAGTGCAGGGATTACTTACAGGTGTGCATCACCACTCCTGGCAATGAATTTAAAAATACTTGTTCTTGAAATATAATTCATTCCTTTCATCTTTTGTATACAAGTATTTATTTTACTAATTGTATATAATAGTAATAACGTGTTTCCCTTAACAGCCTATATTCATGGCCATGCAGAAACCCCTGTTTATCGATTTTCCTTGGCTGATGGAACTATAGTGACTGCACAGACAAAAAGCAAACTCTTCCGAAATCCTGTAACAAATGATCGTCATGGTTTTGTCTCAACCCACTTTCTTCAGAGGTAGTAATAGATTACCGTGCATTTTTAAACATTAAATACAGTGTGTTTTTAAGTTCTTTATTAGTACAAAAGGAAAAGAATGAGAAAATGAAATTGCTGGATTGTAGAAGCTAGTTTACATTTCTAGATTTTTTTGTGTGTGTGTGGGATAACTCTTTGAGAACAGGGTATCACTATACAGTTCAGACTGTCCTTCAGCTTGCTTTGTAGCCCAGGCTGGCCTTGAACTCAATCCTTCTGCCTCAGTCTCCTAAGTTCTGAGATTACAGGTGTGCACTACTACATCTGACTTACTAGTATATTTTTATATAAAGTGATTATTTCACTTTATACTCCTGGGAAATCTAAGGGATGGAAGGTTTGGCTTATTAAATAGCATATAAAATCTGATTACCTGTATAATATTTAATTCTTTGGGGATAGACAAGAGTTTGGGTTTTTTGAGACACATTCTCATTCTGTCATACAGGCTGACCTTGAACTCTAGGTATCCCACCCACGCTGGCCTTAAATTTATGGCTTCCTGCCTCAATCTCCAGTTGCCTAGGATTATAGGTGTATACCACCATGCATGGCTTTTCATTTCTTAAAACGTAATACATTGCTTTTAGGGGATGAACTTAAAATTTCAAGGTACCTTGTAAGAATAAAGGATAGTAACTGCTGGTGTTATTGGTAATGGTAACTATAAACTGATGGACATTTTTTGATTATCTTGAGTAATTTACAGATATTTTCAGGCAACTCTACTTAGGCCTTGTTGAGATTCCTGCTAACATAACTGGTGATCCTTGACAGTACAGTGTGTGGTGTCACTCTAATTTAGTAGTGTGGTGGTATCACTCTAATTTAGATTTTGTGACTTCCCAAAAACATATATTGTCAAATTAGTCATCTTATCTAAATTGGGTATAAGATATTTTCTAGGGGGCTGGGGATTTAGCTCAGTGGCATAAGCGCCTGCCTTGCAAGCAGACAGTTGTGAGTTCGATGCCCGGTACCGATAAAAAAGAAAAAGACCAAAAAAAAAAAAAAAAATTTTTTTTTTTCCTGGCCTGTTCACTTTAACTTTATTGTTTCCCATCTTCTTTTTGTGTTGCTGTAACTATAATTCAGACATTTAATGCATTCCTGTGATTTTTTTTTTTTTTTTTTTTTTGAAGTTAAAGTTTGATGTTTTCTTTTTTTGCAGAGAACAAAACGGGTATAGACCAAACCCAGGTCCTATAGGTCAAGGCATTAGACCTTCTGCATCTGGATGCAGCAGTTCTGTAGGTAGCATGAGCTTGTCACCAAACCAAGGCTTACAAATGCTGAGCAGCAGGGCCTACAGCTTGGGAGACCCCAGCACCACAGGACAGCTGAGTGGAGCTAGATATGGTACTTCAAGTAACATTGCTTCATTGACGGCTGGGCCAGGCATACAGTCACCGTCCTCTTACCAAAACAATAACTATGGGCTCAACATGAGTAGCCCACCTCACGGAAGTCCTGGGCTTGGCTCTAATCAGCAGAATATTATGATCTCACCTCGGAATCGTGGCAGCCCAAAGATGGCCTCACATCAGTTTTCTCCTGTTCCAGGTATTTACCTTAAGTGTTTTTCTTTAGTTTTTTCTTCCCATACCTCTGTACTTCTTAGCCAACTAATTTATTTTGCAATAGGAAGTGATGTATTGTTTTAGTGTCTAATAGCCTAATTCTCTTCTAATTTTTCCTCTAAATCCAGGCGTACAGTCTCCCATGGGATCTTCTAGCAGTACAGGGAGCCACAGTTTTTCCAGTAGCTCTCTCAGTGCCCTGCAAGCCATTAGTGAAGGTGTAGGAACTTCTCTTTTATCTACTTTGTCTTCACCAGGACCCAGACTGGATAACTCTCCCAATGTGAATATAACCCAAGCAAGTAAAGTGATCAGTCAGGATGCTAAGAGTCCCTTAGGCTTGTACTGTGACCAGAATCCAGTGGAGAGTACAATGTCAAATAGCAGAGATCACCTCAATGACAAAGAAAGTAGGGACAGCACTGGTGAAGGGTTGGAGAATCAGAAGGGTCCTTTGGAAAGCAAAGGTCATAAAAAATTACTTCAGTTACTCACCTGTTCCTCTGATGACCGAGGCCATTCCTCCTTGACCAACTCCCCCTTGGATTCAAGTTGTAAAGACTCTTCTGTTAGTGTCACTAGCCCCTCTGGAGTCTCTTCCTCAACGTCTGGAGGTGTGTCCTCCACATCCAATATGCACGGGTCACTGTTGCAAGAGAAGCATCGGATTTTACACAAGTTGCTACAGAACGGAAATTCACCAGCTGAAGTAGCCAAGATTACTGCAGAAGCCACTGGAAAAGACACCAGCAGTGCTGTTGCTTGTAGTGAAGGAACCGTCAAGCAGGAACAGCTAAGTCCTAAGAAGAAAGAGAATAATGCACTTCTCAGATACTTGCTCGACAGGGACGATCCCAGTGATGCACTCTGTAAAGAATTACAGCCCCAAGTTGAAGGAACAGATAATAAAACAAATATGTGCAGTAGCTCCACTATTCCCTGCTCAACTCAAGAGAAGGAGCCTAAAATTAAGACTGAAACAAATGAAGAGGTAACTGATTTTCACTGTGTTGCAGATTAGTTATTGTATGTCATCTGTTTAGAAAGATACCATATACATAATACCTGTTGTCTCCTTTAAGGTTTATTTAAGGGAAGTTAGTTGTGAGTTTTCATTTCTTTGTAATTCTTTTGGGCATTTGTAAAACATGTGATGCAATTTGAAATGTCAACTATATATTTTATAAAATTTTGGATATAACTTAAGTAGGCAATTTAAAAATTTGGGGGGCTGTGTTGTTGGGTTGAGACAATTTTTGGGTCATTAGAGAACAAGCCATGTAAAAAACATTGAATTGATCCAGGTAATTCTGATGTTTATCTGATAACCAAGTTTTTATACTTACATGCTCACGCCCTATGAAAGCATTTCCCAATCACCTCTCAGTATAGGAATAAATGAAAAACTTCAAGAAATCTCACATTGTGGATTTAATTTTCAAGCTAGTGCTCATCACATTTGTTGGTTAAAGCTCTTTTTAGAGCGTCCATTTAAATATTGTTAGACATCAGCTAGCCACTTAAATTACTTACCATACTTATATGTGTAGGGCCTGAGATTTAGCTCAGCGGCATAAGCGCCTGCCTTGCAAGCAGGCAGTCGTGAGTTCGATCCCTGGTACCGATAAAAAGGAAAAAAACAAAACAAAACAAAAAAAAAAACCAAAAAAAAAAAAAAAAAAAAAAAAAAAAACCCCAAAAAAAAAGGTGTCAGAAAGTATGTGTAGATGGAAACGTCTGTTAGCTAAGATCAGTTTTTCTTCTAGTGATTGTTAGATGGAAAATATTCATTTAAATTTTTCACTTTTTTTGTGGTTTGAAACCTACATGTTTAATGTAAGGGGAAAAATGTGCTTTTAATTTCATTTTCATTTTTATTTTTATTTTTTGTGGTGTTTGTGGGATTCTTGTGCAAGCAAGGCAAGGACTCTACCACTGAGCCACTTCCCCACCCCAGAAATGCTTCTTTAAAAGTACCACGTTCAGTGGTTTATAAAATGTTCATAATCCTAAGGAGGTTGTTTGGGAATGGGAGTTCTAAGAAAATAGCGTTAAGTTGGGCATTATCATTTCAGGTAACTATTATACTTTGGTTTTTTTTTTTTTTCCATATATTCTGTTGATTATTTATAGGTGTATAATATATTACACAGGTTAATTTTTAAAATTCCATTTTCAGCCATCTGGAAACTTGGATAATCTAGATGCTATTCTTGGTGATCTGACTAGTTCTGACTTTTACAGTAATCCTATATCCACAAATGGCAGTCATCTGGGGAGCAAGCAACAAATGTTTCAAGGACCTAATTCTTTGGGTAAGGGCAAACCAGATTTGTTTTGCTTTAAACTTGTTCGTGTGCGCGTGCGCGCGCGCATGTGTGTGTGTGTGTGTGTATGTATGTATGTATGTATATTTTTTTTACCTTGGGCTTGCCAGGCAGGTACTATGCCACTGAGCTGTATCCCTAGCCCACTTGTAGTGTTCTTATACCAAGAAAAGGATATAGCTACCATTTTTAACTTAAAGAATTCCTATTCTGCCTTTCAAATTTTTTTATAGTCATTTATGGTTTTTAAAAGGTTTTTGGGAGGCTATTTTTCTTAAAAAAAAAATTCTGTTTGTAAACAATGTATCAGTAACCATGGTATTTGTAGGAAAATGTTAATACTTATCTGTATGTGTATATATATATATATATATTAGCTACAGAGAATTGAATTAACTCAGATGATAGGTTAAAACTTGTCTTTTGGTTCTTAGCTAAGTTCTCTTGTATTTCTTATGCATTTATTCATTGATCATTTAAGCATGGAAATATTTTGGGTATTATTTGGAAAAGAAGAATTTATAATTACCCAGAATGATGGTTATTGATGCTCAGTGGCACTGTTTTCGAAACAGAAGTGGGTAGCCAAATCAGTCACCTATTTTGGAGGAAGAAAAGTTGGAAAGAAATGTTTTAGAAGACAAAAACACAATTTCTTTCTTTGTTTTGTTTTTGTACCCAGAATTGAATTGCAGGCCTTGCACTGGCCAGCTAGGCCAGCTAGGCCATCTGCCGCAGAGCTTCATCCCTGGCCCTCTCTTTGGTCTTATAAGAGAAATTCCCACTGTGTAGTTTATGTTAGCCTAGAACTTTGTATATCCCAGACTGGCCTCAGACTCAGAGTTTCTCCTGCCTTAGCCTCTTGAGCTGAGGTTACCAGCATGTGCTACCACATACAGCAGGGATTTGTTTCTTGATTAGAAGGCAAATCACTTGTCCAAAATTATGCTCATTCCATGTTTAATAAGTACATGTACATAAGATCCAGAAGTTTGAAATTATTGGTCACCTTGTCTCACTTTCTCCCTTCTCCCACATCCTTCCCTTTTTTGTGGTGCTGAAGATTGAATCTGTGGCCTCATGGATGCTAAGCATGCGCTATACCACTGGGATACATCCTTAACCTAGTGAATTTTTTAGTAAGGCATGAATCTGAATATTAATGATTATACCAGGTTACGAAAGAATGCCCAAGACTTCAGTCAACACTGATTATTGTTTATACCTTATTTGGGATGCATTTTTTTTTAAAAACTTTTTTTTTTTTTAGGGAATAGTTGTTTTTGTGACATTCTCCTGGGAAATGGTGGTAGTGTTTATATATTTTACTTGATCTTTATGTGTTGTTGTTTTTCTATTTTTTACACAGGGTACTGATAATGTATTTAAGGCTATAATTAAGTTCACTACATAGCCCAGTGTGGCATCAAACTTGTGGTGATTCTTGTATCTCAGCCTGTCAAGTACTGTTTGGCAGGACATTTAATGTAGTATCCTTCTTTGTTTTTAGCAGGTTTGAGAAGTCCACAGTCTGTGCCATCCAGTCGTCCACCATATAGCCGAGCAGTTTCTTTAGATGGTCCTGTTACTGTTGGCTCCAGTCCTCCAATAAAGAATATCAGTTCTTTCTCTATGTTACCTAAGCAGCCCATGTTGGGTGGGACTCCAAGAGTGATGGATAGTCAGGAAAATTATAGCTCAAACATTGGTAGGTTATTACTAATATCTTAGTGACCTTAAGTAGAATTTCATTATGCTGTGGAAAAGACCTAATCATTTTTACCTGTTTTAGGTGTACCAAACAGAAATGTGACTGTGAGCCAGACTCCTAACTCTGGAGACTGGGGCTTACCAAATTCAAAGGCCAGCAGAATGGAACCTATGAGTTCAAACTCTATGGGAAGGCCTGGAGGAGATTACAGTGCTTCTCTACCCTGTTCTTTACCCAGACCTTCAATGGCCGGCGCTATGTCAACTTTTCCTCTTAGGTCAAATAACATTCCTGGTGCAAGGCCATTTTTGCAGCAGCAGCAGCAGCAACAACAACAGCAACAGCAACAACAGCAGCACCAGCAGCAGCAACAGCAGCTTCTCCAGATCAGTATGTGTCATTAAACAAAAAATTATTAGCTATTTTAGGGCAGTTTTTATTATTGGCTTATTTGAAAATTTAACACTGTTTCTTTTTGCTCCCCCAGAACCTGGTGAGATTCCAATGGGTATGGGTGTGAATCACTATGCCCAAGCAACACCACCTAATCAACCAGGTTCCTGGCCAGATGCCATGCTATCCATGGAACAAATCCCTCATGGCACTCAAAACAGGTAGGACCTTATTTTATTACTGTTCAAAATGTTAATAATGTAGGAAAGAGTTAGAATAGGAAAAAAGATTGAAAAAGAATTCTTTATGATTTTGTAGTTGAAGTACCTGCTTGTAATTCTGCTGAGGCAGTAGGTAGAGACAGAGCTGTACTGCTAGTTATCAGGGCCATGAACTGTTTAATCAGACATATGAAAAAAATCTCTCTGAGGTGGTGCTTTTTTTTTTTTTTTTTTGAAATAAAATGATAATCTAGTGAGGAAGGAGAGAAATAAATAGTAGTTTGCCAGTATATGTTTTCTCAGTGTTCTTTTAAATGATGTTGAGAGAGGAAGTTTCAGTTTTTTTTGCAAATTAATTTTTAAGGGTTGTATAGTGCCTTTTTTTTTTTTTTTAAGAAAGGATCTTGCCATGTAGTTCAGAGTGGCCTCAGATTCCCATGTGCTGGGAGAATGTTCACATACCACCATGTCTAGCTTAGATAGTTGTTCTTTTTTTTTTTTTTTTTTTTGTCTTTTTCATTTTATCGGTACCAGGGATCGAACTCATGACCGCCTGCTTGCAAGGCAGGTGCTTATGCCACTGAGCTAAATCCCCAGCCCCTAGATAGTTGTTCTTAAAATTACTTAAAGTATTTCAGTGATTGTGGTGAAAGTGGGCCATTTTACCTATTTATCTTTATGTGAGAAAGATTGTGGGTTTTATTTTTTTATTGAGAAATCTCCCTATATATACCCCAGACTGGCATGGTCCTGAAAGCTGGAATTACATGCATGGGCCACCAAACTTGGCTCATGTTTCATTTTCAGTTAATAACTGTCTTGGTTACTCTTTTCTTGTTGCCAGGACAAAATAGCCAGTACTCAAAATGAAGGAAGGAAAGATTTATTTAGTTCACTGTTAGTGGAGGTTTCAGTCCATAATCAGCTGGTTCCAAGGCAGTGGCATGGAACTGGGGCAACAATTCAAGATAGCAGTCTGTGAATAACGTGGGACAACAAGAATAAACCACTTCTCTCTTAATAATGTAAGCAAGCTGCAAATTTCCTCCTCCTTCTTGCATGGACTTGGATATTTACAAAGTAAGGATCCTGGCTTCCCACTGAGAGTCTCTTAGTTAAATTTCTCAACCTGTCAAGTTGCCACAATGAATAAACCATGTCAGTAACTTAGTGCAAGATGCCTCTGTCAGGTGTCCTCTCTTGACTTCAGTTTTGCTGTAAACTAAGGGAAGGAAAAAAAAAAAAAAAAAACATTGATTGAATAAGGAGTGATTTCTGTGACTTTATGAACTTAAATGTTTCTTTACCTAGTGGAGATCAAATAGTTTCAAGTTCATAGATACATTCTGGTCTGGATTGAACCCAGCTAATGTAAAGCTACATTGTCACCTGTTTTTTAAAACTTTATTTTGAGACTGGTTCTCTCTAAGTTGCCTAGCTTGATGTTAAATTTGTAATGCTTCAGTCATTCTCCCAGAAAGTTGTAATTACAAGTGTACATACCACACCTACATTTACAGAAGTACAGAAGTGTTTTTTTTTTTTTTTTTAATAAGAACTGATTTAGTAGTGGAAGATGTTCTTTAACTCATAGTTTTAAACTGAGGCAATCCTCTTGCCTCAGCCTACTGAGTTCTGGGATTTCGAGAATTTGCTACCACACCTAGCTCACAGGTTTTTTTTTCTTAAACAGGAATTTTTCAAGGCGTGATAAATATCTCACTTTGTACTCTTTCACGTTTAGTGAACTATTGTAGCTTGTGTGTGGAGTTTGAATTATACATGTTAATTTAAACTTTTTGGACAAGTATAACAGAAAGTTATTTTGGCATTTTTTTCCAGCTGCAAATCATTGATACTTCAACATTTTTATCCTTTCTTTGATTCTTTGGCTTATTTCCTTGATTTTCAGATATTAGAATTATTATACCTCAGTTCTTGTTTACAAAACGTTACGATCTTTCCCTCTTTCCTTCATCATTTACTATCCCTCATTTAGGATTAGTCAATTCATTTTGGTAGTGGGGTTGAAGGGGTAAACTTTATGTGTTGGGCCTAAGATGGCCTGGTGAAATTTTCAGATGCAATTGATGTTATGTGCTATTTTTTATTGTATAGTTGCTTAGTTTGTTGGTTGATTTCTTTTATTTGTTTGTATTGGAAAGCATACTCAGGACCTCATACTAACCAGGCAGGCACTGTTCCACTGAGCTTTATCCCTGGCCCTCTGGTTTATTATTTTACTTGTATTATGTGAGTTACTATGTATTTTAAGTTAAAAATAGGATCCATGCTTATGACATTGTCTCATATATGTGTCATATATGTCATATATATGTCTCATATGTGTGTAACTAGAGATAAAACATAGGAACACCTAAGAAAGGGTCTTGCTACTTTGTGCAGAATAGTCTTGAACTTTCCATTTTCTTGCTTTGACTTCCTGAGCAACTGTAATTACAAGCATGTACAATACATAGCTCACCAAGATCTATGATCGTGGTGCATAAGATCTATGATCTTATGCACACTAGGCAAGCACTCTACCACTGAAATCACATATGCAGCCCTTTTATGGTTTTATTTGAGATACGGTTTTATTAAATTCACCAGGAGACCTTGAACTTTCAGCCCAACCTCTTGCCTCAGCTTCTCAAGTAGATGAGATTACAGGACGACAGCCATATCCCACCAGGTCTAGTTCTGTCGCTGAGCTACATTCTAGGCATTGAAACTCAGGTGAGCTAGTGCTAGGAAAGCAATCTACAACAAGTGAGCTGTGTCTTATGACCAAATGCTATTATTAAAACTGATTGCAAATGTCTTTCTAGACCAATTCTTAGGAATTCCCTGGATGATCTCCTTGGGTCACCTTCTAACTTGGAAGGCCAGAGTGATGAAAGAGCTCTGTTGGACCAGCTGCACACACTCTTGAGCAACACAGATGCAACAGGCCTGGAGGAAATTGACCGAGCTTTGGGCATCCCAGAACTTGTGAATCAGGTAAGTTCCTTCAGCATGGACCTAGAAGAATGTGTTTCTCCATGATCACTTGTGTACGTTGTGCACATTAATGAGGTCAGGTGCAGGATGCTTGTGTGTCTTCTATTCCTTGCATTATTTATGGATACCAGCAGTAAATCTTCAAAGTATGCTTCATGATCATGATTGTATTCCCACAACCTAGCATTTTATACAAATGTCATCATATTCTGGGAAAGTATAGAACAATGATTCATTGACATTAATTTTTTTTTTCCCCCTCCTCTTTGGAGACAGGATTTCATTATTCAGTTCAAGCTGCCCCTCAACTCACTTTGTAACTGAGGTTGGCCTCATACTCACAGCACTCCTCCTGCTGCAGCACTATAAGTTTTTTAAATGTAGTATTACTTGCAGGAATTTTTTTTTCTTTTAAATCATTTTTGTTAGTACATGTTACAATATATACTGATTACATTCATTTTAAGGAGCTGGTATATATGCATACCACATCTTAATTCTTTTTCCTTGTTTCCCCTCATCTTCCTTCTATTCCTATCACTACTTCTTTCTTCACTGCCTAGCTGGTTATTGTGTACTTTGAGGAGGCAAGATGCAAGCTAGTTGAAGTCAGTTTAAACCTAACAATTTTACAATGTGTAATTCTGAATATCACAACACCATCATCCTGTAGGCTTGGGTCACCACACCCTGTGGCATAATGTTCTCTTAAGATACTGGGCCACAATATTATAAATAATTTGCTTTCTTTTCCGTTAGCTTAATTTTAGCTTTGTTATTTAATTTTAAAAGGTTTGTGTTGTGAAGTCCAGGATGGTGAGGTAAAGAGTAACTGAAAAGATATCTGATAATTGTACACGCTGGAGCAGTACTCTGCTACAGAGGAGGGAGAATGTGAGTCATCTGTGGGGAACTGGATGCACCTTAATGTCAAGTGAGATGAATGAGATACCCAAACTCAAATACTGCAGTGAGAAACCAGAGTGTAACTGAAGTGCAAAATGCAAGAAAATAGAAAATAGGGAAGATAAAATCTTTTGTAAAAGCATGTTAGATTAAGAGCTTTTAGTTTGAAATTCTAGATGAAAAATTATGGATGTTTATCTTCCCCCCACCCCCCACCATGCACACTCATACATACATAGGAGCATATGCTGTCTGTGTACCTCCAATATAATAATACTATCTTTTGTTAAATGGCCAGTGTTTACATTTTGGCACATTGATGAGTAAGTATACCATTATTAACTTTTTTAGTTAATAATTGCCTTCTCTGCTAGGCATGCTGGCATACTCTTGTAATCCCAGCATTTGGAATGCGGAAGCAGGAGAATCACATTGAGTATGATGCCAACCTGGACTACATACGTGAGATCCTGCTCCCTCTCCCCCACTACAAATTGCCTTCTGTTTGTTTGTTTGTGCATACAGGTTGTTTTACAAGATACTCTTGTGAAAATATTAGAAGCTGTTTTAATTTTCAGACATAAGCTTTACTTCCCACTGAGGCAGGTATATCAAACATCACTGTTCTCTAATATTGTGTCTTGGTTTCCTCAATTGCAAAAGCCTATTTATTTCCGGTTTTACTCCTTTCTTTTGCAGAAACACTGGTTGTGACTTCTGTCCCACCTACATGAGATCTATTTTGGGTCCTCTATATCTAAGTCCTTTATTGCATTCTTTTGCACAGCTCACTGTATATTGAATTCTAGATTCAAAATAATTTTCTAATATTTTGAAAAATTTCTCTCCTCTTTGAAAGTCCAGGTTTCCTCCAGGATTGCCATTCAGTCTTTGGTTCCATCCAATCTGGTACCCTTGTTTATATTTGTTCCTTTTATATTATTTCTTTTGGCAATGAGAAAAATGTGCCTTTTGAAATCTGATTGTGCTCTATTTTGGTATAGGTTTGTTTAATTCTGTTGTGTACTAGGTACACAAATACCTATTTTAGGATTGGGAGCATTTTATTTTATGATTTTTTCTTTAATAATGTTATTTCCTCTCACTTGTGCTCTCTCTCCTCCTTTCCCTGCCCCTTCCCTTCCCCTTCTCCCCCTTCAGTACTAGGGATTGAACTCCGCTGCTTTTGCATTGATCTGCATCCGCAGCCTCATTTAATACTAATTTTGAAACAGTATCTAGGTTGCCTAGGCTAACCCTATCCCTAACCCTACAGGTAAGTTACCATGCCTGGGTCACTTCTGTCACATACACACAGAATGATTCCTTTGTATGATGATAGGCCCTTTCAGGAGCCTGTATTATTTGTGTAGATTATATGTGGTCCAGTTCCACTGCCAATTTGCTCATCAAATTTTGAGTTTGTTTGATTTGGAAAGGATAAATTTCTTCTAATTTAAAACATAATACTTAGGATATGATTCATAATATAGGAAAATGAGGGAGGAAAATTAAGTGGATGTATACGTAATAAATTACATATATAATGAATGTATGAATTTATGTGATTTTTTTTTTTTTTTTTTTTTTTTTTTTTTTTTTTTTTTTTTTTTTTAACCTTTGAGTATTTTCATGTTGGAAGCTTTTATCAAGTACTTAACTTACTTACCTGGTGATCCTTGATGGTGTTGTGAGGTTTTAGAATGACACATTAAAAAGGTGATTTGAGCCAAATGTTGGTGGTTTACTTGTTTTTTTTTTAAAATTTTATTTAATGAGAAAAAAAGAACAAATAAACAGATAAAGGGTACAAGTTATACAGAATTTCAGAAAAACAGTAGGAAATCACTAGTTAATTATATATTGTCATCTTAGAAATAGTTGTTGAAGTTACAAAATTAAAGCGTATAGAGGGGACTTGCAAACAGTGAGAGTGCAAACAGTTTTGTTCAATGATCCAACAAAACTCAGTAATATGGTTATCTATCTTATACACTTAAATATATATGCAGTTATATCTTTTAGAGAACTTTCTTTTCCTTTCTTTTGTACAATGACAATTACACATTTTGGTTTTATTACTCCCACGGTTGTTATTACTTTTTTTTTTTTTGAAGAAAGTAAAACCAAATGTGACATACCAGGACAGAGTCAGTCAAATCAAAAGGATGGACATAATACATAATGTAAAAACACAATACAAGGTGATCAACAATGGTTACCATAATGCCTCTTGTTATCTTAAAAAGAATTGCCTATATCATAAGTTATAATAAAATTGAACAAAATAGTAAAGAATAAGACCAATAAAACCAAAACATTGGAGAATTAGCGGTAATAATCAACCAGAATGGGTGTCACAATGAATCTTATTGTCTTCATAGTTGTTGCCTATACTTTCAAACTTGGTGCTATCAAGCATAAGAGAATAGAGGAAAATCAGTCAAAACAAGATGGTAAGGGCAGTACAGGATTTCAAATCAAGTTAATAGGAAATCACAATGGGTCACTATAATATAACCTGTTAGTTTTTATTTTTCCCTTAATTTAAAGGATAAAAATGAAAAAGTAGATAATAAAAAGGAGATTGAGATAAAAAAGAGGGCATAACAACAAAACATTGCAGGTCAAAACATAGCTATTTAAGCAAAATAGGGTTTCACCACAAGATAATCTCGACATAATAGTTACCATAGTGTCTCTTTCCTTAAAATCTTTGTGTATGACTTCGTATACTGTAGCATCAAACATATCAAGACAATGTAAAACCATTCAAGAGAATGACAGTATTACAGGGTATTTAGAATCAACTAACAGAAAATGAACAATGGTTTCTGTATAATTTCCTTGTCTATAAAAGTTTTTGTTTATATTATCACATATAATAAAATGCAATAAGATACAACAGGTTAAAACCAATGGAGACAGAAGAACAAAAGCTTGATGGGACTTCAAAACAAGAGGATATTAAATCAGCACTACTTATTATGATGTCTTGTTTTCTCCAAAATGGCTGTTCCTACCATCCAACCTTCTCTGCCTCATTTCTGTTGAGCTTTTTTTCTGTCATTAGTTGTCAGTTTGTCCTCTTCATTTCGCTTTCTGCTCCATTCATTGTGGCCGCTCTGCCACTGTTTCTGGTATTTTTCATTTTTAGAATATCTTGCAGTAATCTCTGTAGAATTGAATTGGTGGTTGCAAATTCCCCTAGTTCTTCTTTATCCTAGAAGCACCTTGTTTTTCCATCAATTTCTAGGGACAGTTGTGCAGGATATATCAATCTTGGCTGGAGGTTATTATCTTTCAAAGCTTGAATTATTTCCCCCTACGCTCTTAGTGATTTGATGGTTTGTGCTGAGAAGTCTGCTGTAATTCTGATGGGTGTTCCCTAGTAAGTGATCTGTTTCTTGTCTCTGACGGCTTTTAATATTCTGTTCTCATATTGGATTTCTGGAATTTTGATTATCATATGCCTGGGTGTAGCTCTGTTTGGGTTGTAGGTGGCTGGTGTCCTGTATGCCTCATACATTTGAGTATCTTTACCTTTTGTTAAATTAGGGAAATTCTCTGGATTATTTCTGTGAATAGCTTTTGTAGTTCATTTATTTGAGTCTCTACTTCTTTTATGTTCTTAATTCTTAAGTTATAGATCCTCTTATCATCTTCTAGTCTTTGTATTATTGTTTTTTGTTTTCTTGTTATTTTTAAGAAGTTTTTCATTTCATGCTCCTACTTTACAAATCTGTCCTCCAATTCTGATAATCTATCCTTAGTTTCTTTCAAGCTGTTAAGCCAGCTTTCAATAAAGTTTTTTAGTTTCCTGGTAGTCTCTTTGAACCTGCTTCACACATTCTATGTTTTCTCCATCAAACAATTCTCCCCTTTTTTTCCTGTCATTCCATTCCACCATCTGTTTTTTCTTGGGTGATGCTTAGCATTTCTCTAACTATTCTACTTATTTCTTGCTTTATTTCATTAAATACTTCATTTTTGAACTCGTCTATGAGGCTCCGGAGATACTGCTTTATGTCTATAGGTGCTGTGTCTGATATTGCATGTTTTTTGTCTTTATTCTCTTTTGCATTTACCTTTCCTGGATCAGTGTTCTCAGGATTGGGGACTGAGGACCCTTTCTTGTTGCTCCCTTTTCCCATACTTTTTGTTCCTTCCATTACAAGCCTATGTAGGAGGCCCCCCCCCCCCCTTTTTTTTTTCTCTTTGTCTGTTACAGTTTGTTTGAATCTTCTGACTAGGTGTTCCCGCCCACTGGGCAGCCTCTGCTGGGCCCGCCCCTCCAGGTCAATGTACTGAATGCTTCACTGCTAGGGTGCATCCCCAGGCACAGGGACCTGGTTTGGGCTAGCCTACTGGATCTTAGTCCCTGGCGTCACCAGGCCAAGCGCTCTCCACCACTCACTCTAGAGAGGGGAATATGTGACTAAAGTCATTGCAGGGCCTTGTTCTGGCTAGTCTGCTTGTTCCCACAATGTCCTCTGTTGGAGCCTCCTAGTCTATGAAAGGGTCCCCATTTCTCTCATTCAATTCAGGGCTCCCTGCCAGTCCCGCTCTCGCCCTTCGGTTCTCCGATTCCTGCTCTCAGAGCTTTCGCGTGTCTCTTTCCCTGTGGTGCAGATTGGGAAGCAGTATCGCAGCAGGAAATTTAAATCGCGGCTTCCAATGGCGTGGGATCCAGCTTCTGCACTGAGATTTTATCTGTTCCTGTTGTGGCATCAGGATTGCATTTCCAGTTGGTTTCTCTCAGCTTAGTTCGTTCCTGGGTCGGCATGGTACATCTCCCCTCGCGTAGGATTCCTCACACAGCACCGCTCCTGGATTCTTTTTTTTTTTGGTCTTTTTTCGTCTTTATCGGTACCTGGGTTCGAACTCAGGACTGCCTGGTCGCAAGGCTGGCCCTTATGCCGTTGAACTAAATCCCCAGGCCCTCCTCGCTCCTGGATTCTAAACTGGTAATCTCAGAGAGCCTCTGTGTCTGCTGTTATTTGTCCGCCATGTTCTCCTGGAAGTCCCGTTTGTGGTTTACTTGTAATCCCAACACTTGGGAAACCATGGTAGGGAGATCATGCTTTTGAGGGTAGTGTGGGCCACATAGTGACAACCTAACAAAACAAAATGGCTCATTGCTCTCCAAGTGTGAGCAGATTTCATTGTTTCTGTGGATAATGATTAAGTGTGGAACTGGCCTCATTATTTCAAGACTCCCTAAATTTCAACTGATTCATCACATTCATTTATTCTCCACTGTTTTTTTCTCTTGGGACTGTGCATGTTTTTGGTGATGTGGCTTTTCATTTCTTGCCTTGAAATTTTCTGTGGAAACTGAACTGTGGATAATCTCATAGGATATAAAGTTACAAAATAAAACACAATTTTATTAGAATATATAGATGTGTAAATTACTTAGAATTTTAGCTTCTTCCTATCTCTTGCTCTCTACTCTGCCATAATTCCCTATGTAGTTCTGTGGAGGGTAGGTAGATGGTATAGAGGTAGTTACCAGATGAGCAGGTAGGAGGTAGTTTGGTTTCTGCTCTGTAATCAGTCTAATACCCAACTGCTGTTGTAGCACTGTGCCAACCAGGGATTTTCCTGCATTCTGTGGTCCACATTTTGTCTCTAATGTATTTTTCATTCATATCCACATAGTTCTCAGTTTCTATTGAGTGATTTCTAGTCCTCCACTTTATGTATTTCAAATACCTATCAATGGAGGCCAAGGGTTTCGCTAATTGAGCTAAGGACCTGCTTGGCAAAAGCGAGGTTGTAACTTTGGTCTCTGCCACAAAACAAACCCCCAGAAAACCAAAAGACCCCAAAAAACTATGAGAATATTGATCTTGTTTTCGTGCTACTGGTTTTATTTATAAATACAATTTTTTAACTACTTTACAGTTGTCAGGCATGGTGTCATATGTCAGTAATCCTGGCATTTGGGAAGCTGAGGCAGTAGAATCACTGAAGAGTTCAAGGCCATTCTGGGCTGCATAGTGATACCCTCTCTCAAATCCTGCCCCCCAATCTTTACTTGCATTTTTAGTAGTGTGGGAAAGAGAAAAAACATGCCACTGTTGATCTTCTACACTATGACTACCTTTAAAAAAAATTCTTGGATGTCCCTTTGAAGAAAGGAGTTGGCACGATGGGACAAAGTTGAAGCAAAGATGCAAACTATTGTACCACAAGAATCTTGTAAAGGCTGTATTGTTGTACAAAGAAGGGAACAATACACAATATACTGTCGGACAAACTGACAAAATTTAGTGGGCAGTGTATGAGTTTGTGCATGTGTTCCAGTACTTGGAAAGAACCCTGAAGAATCAAGGTTGTGGCCTTTGCGTTCTAGCATAGTGAGTGGTTAATGCGATACATTGTGGCATGGGGAAGAGTTAAAGGAAAACATTTGTTTTAGGTGAAGGACTACATATGAGTTTGGTCTTCTACATATTAAGGGTCAGATGCCTAGATAATCCAGATAAGATATTAAGTATGTATCTGTATAAATAAAAAAATTTGGAGTTGGAGATCAGATTTGATGTCATCAGTGGTAGGAAAGCACTAGGTACGACATGAAGAGAAAAGAGAATCTGTATTGAAGCATTTAAGTGAGAAAAGTCTAGAGGTGGGAAAAGAATATAGGTATGGTGAGGTGAACTTCCCTTTGTGAGAAGTCTGGTGACAGCCGTTGACTGCACATTCATGAAGGTAATGGCACATTGTCTCCTAATTTAGCAGGGGAAGTACTGTTTTCTTTTTAGAAAGTTTTCTGACACCTACTGGATGTTATCTTGTGCCTCCAATCTGTATATCTTCAGAGTGTACCGAAAATGATTAATGGGACATTATATTTTTAAGTCAGCGTCTCACTACATTTCTGGTTTGCCTTGAATTCTCTATATGGCCCAGGTTGGCCAAGAACTCAAGGCGATCCTCCTGCCTCAGCCACCCAAGTGCTAGGACTATAGGCATGTGCTATTATGACTTACTAATAAATGTTTGTTGAATGAATGGATCCCCCCAGTAAGGCAAAGTGGATTATTGCTTTTACTTTTAGATTTTTAAGGACTGGCTTGGTCATTGTACTCTAAGGGATGTGAACAATTTTTAATTTACCTGTAGTTTCCAAGATCCTTCTTGAATCCTTAACAAAAGGTCTTCTACAGATTGCACAAGAATTTATTTTATTTCATTTATTTTTTAAGAATTAGATTTTGGGCTGGAGATTTCACTTAGTGGTTCAAATGCTTGCCTGTTAAGGGCAAGATTGTGAGTTTGATCCCTGCTAACCCACTGCTCCCAAAATCTTTTTTTCAGTATATTTTAGATCTGCATAATGATCAAATTACACAAGAATTTATTCATTATTGATCTTTTATGATGATTTTTATAGAATTCTTGGCTTGGGAAGCTCATGTTTTTTTAGTCTAGAAATCTTGGCTGGAACACATTGTATCCCTTCATATATTTAATACATTTGAATATTTGAATTTCTATCTATACGATTATTTGATATAAGACACATTTCTGAGCAGAGATATTGTTAACTCATAGACAATAAACTTGATTTTGCCTCTGACATTCTGAACCATTGTTTATTCTTTTCACATAGTGACTTTATTTTTCTTCTCCTTCAGAACACTTGATTTTGGTTGCTTTTACACATGTATGTCAATATATTATTATTATTATTTTTAATCTTTAAGGGACAAACTTTGGAGCCCAAACAAGATCCTTTTCAAGGCCAAGAAACAGCAGTGATGATGGATCAGAAGGCAGCATTATATGGACAGACATACTCAACACAGGGTCCTCCAATACAAGGAGGCTTTAATCTTCAGGGACAGTCACCGTCTTTTAACTCTATGATGAATCAGATTAGCCAGCAAAGCAGTTTTCCTCTCCAGGGGATGCATCCTAGGGCCAGCATCATGAGACCTCGTACAAATACCCCAAAGCAACTTAGAATGCAGCTTCAGCAGAGACTTCAGGGCCAACAGGTAATCAGTTCCTGATGTGTTTGGCTATGGCTTAATTGTCTTTCACTTTGGTCTCAGCTTAGTTTTTAGGCTTCTTCCTTAGAGGTTTTACCACTTTTACATCTCATGCCATCTAAAAAAATTATTTTTGTTTTTACTGATGTGTTAAGATTTTATTTGTAGGGGCTGGGGATTTGGCTCAGGGGCATAAGCGCCTGCCTTGCAAGCAGGCAGTCGTGAGTCCGATCCCTGGTACCGATAAAAAGGAAAAGGACAAAAACCAAAAAAATTTATTTGTACAGTTGGCTTCTTGTTAAGAAGTGGTTGGTTACTTTCATATGTCCCGTTGTATATGTTAAAAAATAACAATGTCAGCAATGATTGCTTTTTTGGGGGGGGAAACAGTGACTTGAGGATTTTGTTTTTGAAGTATTTGATACTATAACCAAGTAATCCTTCTTGATGTGAGTAGTTTTAAGGTGTTTTATAAAATTAGAGCTCTCTTAATATTCGTAGAACGTATGTCTGTTTCTCCCATTGTGTCCTTAATCTCCAGCTAGTGTTTTAAAATATAATTATTTCTATGATTTATGTTTTAATTGGGGTAAGTTACTTTATGTGGCAGTACTGAACCACGAAGTGACTGAGTTAGGAATACCCAGCCAGAGACTTTGAAGTGCCTAAATATTGTTAATAGCTTCAGAGCTTGGCAAAGCTGTGTTCCTGGTATTACTGTACTTTGCATCATTTTTTTCTACTAAAAGTCACTAAGGGAAAAGTACCATAAGGTTTTTCATTCTATTGTTGAGTTCCTGAAACACAGATTTTGTTTAGGGGAGGGGTGCTAGTTTTTTTGAGTCAGGCCTTCACTGTGCAGTTCAGGCTGGCCTGTAACTCAACGTTAGAACTCAGCCTCCTGAGTCCTGGCATTATAGGTGTGCTCCACCATGTCTGGTATTGAAAGATAGTTACTGAACTTTATTTTTGCTTTTATTTTTCTGTAGTGCCAAACAGTAAATCTTTATATGCTGGGCAAGAATATTTTAGCAGTTACTTTAAAAATTTAATTTTTTTTTTGCACTGTTAAAATGTACCAGCTCTGTTTAGATGGGACTTACTTACCAGGTTGATGAATGGGAATGTTGAGATACTCTAACATTACCAGATTGGGGCATGTTACCATTGCTGCACTTGGATCCTAACAAACCTGTGTCTCTTTAGTTCTTGAATCAGAGCCGGCAGGCACTTGAAATGAAGATTGAAAACCCTGCTGGTGGTGGTGCTGCAGCGATGAGGCCCATGATGCAGCCCCAGGTGAGCTCCCAGGTGAGGAGGACCCTCCACATTTGCTGTCACACCCCAGCACTGTGCTTGGTTCATGGTGGCTTTGTGAGTGTAGGTTGAACAGATCAGTATAATTCTCAGTTTTTTGTGTAAAAATCTGTTCCATGTACACATTGAACTTACTATCTATGGTGATGGGAGCAATAAGATGAAGTTTTATTTCATTAAGACGACCAATGAATATTTCTAACGTTATTTCCATTTATAATCATTTGATGTGTTATAATATAAACTATTACTTAATGTAAATTTTAAATTGAGGATTTAAAATAGTAACTTTGTAAATGTCTGTTCCTAGATTATGGCACCACATGCTCACTAGGTGAGATATGCTGTATTTCCTGTATTGAGAGGGCATGTGACAACTCTTTTGTCTCCTCTAGCAGCAGTGTAGACAGTGATCAGGTGCTTTTTAGGCCTGGGATATAGTTTAGTGTGTGAAGGCTCTGGTTTCAGTCTCCATCAACCCTCACTCCCCACTCCGTTCTGGTTTAATGTTCAGGACTCAGGTGACAACATGACAGTTCTGTCTACTATGAATGTAAACTCTTCCTAATTGTGTAAAGAAAAACTGAAACCTTCATTTTTTTGCTATTTAAGGCCTGCACTGAATGAAGTAGTTATGCTTCATAGTCAACATCTTCTGTAAGCTGAGCTAAGATACCTTCCAAATAGATGATAAAAAATTTTTGTATCCAGGTCTGGTTGCGCAGTCCTGTAATCCAATACTTGGGAGACTGAGGAAGGAGAATTGTTTGCAAGTTTGAGACCAGCCTGGGCTATAACGTGAGCCCAAGGCCAGCCTGAACTGCATAGTGGGACCCTGTCTCAAAAAGACAGAAACCAAACAAACAAGAGGTTAATCTTGAGTTCATAGAGCCCAAATCAGTGTTGTTTTAAAGTCGTACCCTTTTTTATTTTTTTTAGAAGTTTTTATTTACTTTGGTATTAGGCATTGAACCAAGGTTCTTTACAATGTGCTACATCCTCAGTCCTTTTTAACAGCCTAAATTACCTAGGCTTTTCTGAATTTATGATCCTTTTGTGTTAGCCTCCCAGAGTGCTGGGATTACAGATGTGAGCTCTCATACTTGGTTGTTTAATCTTTGATCATGCTACCACCTTGACTTCCAAACAGCTTTCTTATCTTCATCTCCTTTCAGATTGGCAAGACTATAAGACCTCTAAGGTTCCTGCTTATCTCAGTAAAACCTCACCCTTTATATCTTGTCTTTTTGGAAGGCCTGTCCTTTCATTCTCTAATAGTCATTTTTGGGATTGTCTCTCCTGCCCTTCACACCTTTCTCTTGTTTCAAGAACTGAGCTACATCCCCAGTTGTTTTTTTGAGATAGGGTTTTCCTATGCAGTTTATGCTGGCCTTGAACTCACTCTATAGCCCAGGCTGGTCTCAAACTCACAGCTGTTCTCCTGCCTAAACCTCCCAGTTGTGTTTTTTCTGTGTGTTCGTGTATGTGTGTGGCTGGGGGTGGGGGGTGTTACTTAGTCATTTTGAGACAGGGTCTTGTTAAGTGACTTAAGTTTCCTAGGCTGCACTTGGATGCAGCCTCCCACAGTGCTTGGATTAGGTACTTACCACTCTGCCTTACCCTTCCAAAAGATGGGGTTTCTTTATTCTGCATAGGCTTGCCTCAGCTTCCTGTGCTTTTAAACAGAGACTCCTGCTTTTACTTCCTCTGAGTGCTGGAATAACAGGTATGCTGTGCCAGTGTGCCAGGCTCTGAAAGTTTTTAACATAGTGAATTTTACGTTTTTTTCCCTTCAATTTTGAAGAAAGGCACTGGATAATTTTCTCTCTTTGATACCAAATGTATTATGGGGGAACCATATATGTGATATGGGTTAGCTTTTGTTACTAGTAATTGCATTCTCTTTTGGTATTAGCAGGGTTTTCTAAATGCTCAGATGGTTGCCCAGCGTAGCAGAGAACTGCTAAGTCATCACTTCAGACAGCAGAGGATGGCAATGATGATGCAGCAGCAGCAACAGCAACAGCAGCAGCCTCTGCCGCCGCCGCCGCAGCAGAGCCAGGCCTTCAGCCCTCCTCCAAATGTGACCGCCTCCCCCAGTATGGATGGCGTTTTGGCAGGGCCTGCAATGCCACAGGCTCAGCCACAGCAGTTTCCATATCCACCAAATTATGGTAAATGAGACAGAGACTATCCCATCCCCAAAGTAGCATTTCTTAATTATTAGCTAGATTTGTTGCACATGGAAAACAAATACTATTTGCTAAGTTGTTATTTCACAGAAAAGTAAAATTATTTTAAAACAATGGAAAACAAAGTTTGCTGTAGGTATTTCAGTCACATATATTCTGTTATGGTAAAGTTTTTTTAAAGGTCTTTGTTTTTAAGCTCGAAAAACGTGTCACACTATTTTGGAATTGTGATCCTTCAATAAGTCAGCGAGAAAGGTGATACTGTTTAGTATGTAAGTCACTGAGAAGGATGTACTGTGTGGGCTTTAGACATTCCCCCCCCCCCCCCCATTTTGGTAACCAGGATGTAACTTGTGACCTCATGCTTACCAGGCAGATGCTTATGCCGCTGAGCTAAATCTCTGGCCTAGGAATGTTTGTTTTTGAGACAGGGTCATGCTATGCAGTTCAGGCTGGTCTTGAACTTGCATCATTTCTCCTGCCTCACCCTCCCCAGTGCTGTGATTACAGGCATGTACCACCATGCTCAGCTTAAAGCTCTTTTTTGTGGTTCCTTCAACTTTAATAGTAATGGTAATGATGCAGATAGCACTTCAGTTCAGTCTTTACAAGATGCTTATTGGGGAGGCCTCTCATTTCAGGGTGCAGCTCTGCTCTCTGGGGGATGGTTGTTTTTCTGCCTTCTGAAGAGGGATGAACAGTATGATTTCTGTAGCATGTTAAGAATTCCCTTTCATAATGAGAAGCCTTTGAAGCAGCTGTCCTTCACTTGGACTAGGTGGTAGGACTTTTGGTAGTAAGTCCATGACTGTAGTAGTTACAGTGAGAAGCAAGAGTATCTGGGAGGTAGCTTCTTGTAGCACTTCACATCTTACCACCATTTCCCATCCCCTTCCAAAAAAGAAAAGAATAGCTCTTGAGGATCATCATTTCTTACTTCTTTTTCTCTTTTTGAGGACTCGGACAGCAACCAGATCCAGCCTTTGGTCGAGTGCCTAGTCCTCCTAATCCAATGATGTCATCTAGAATGGGTCCATCCCAGAACCCCATGATGCAACACCCACAGACGGCACCCATGTATCAGTCCTCAGAAATGAAGGGCTGGCCTTCAGGAAACTTGGCTAGGAACAGGTAAACAGTAACAAGTTCAAAAGCAATTCACATCCTAGTGTTGGAAACTCAGAAAATTAATTTCTCTGTATTTTTCAGGTATAGTTGTTTTGATAAAGAAATCAAAAGGCCTAGTTGTCTCAGAAAATGTTACATGGCTTGTCCCTTTTGAGCATCCTTTGTACATGTATATAGAGTACAGATAGTGAAAAATGGAAGGCCGGAAGTACAGGGACAATTGATAAAATTGATAAGACTCTGTGCTAAATTTTTAAATGGCTCAAAGTAATATGTACTTTACAGCTCCTTTCCCCAGCAGCAGTTTGCCCACCAGGGAAATCCTGCAGCATATAGTATGGTGCACATGAATGGAAGCAGTGGTCACTTGGGACAGATGAACATGAACTCCATGTCCATGTCGGGCATGCCCATGGGTCCTGATCAGGTATGTGGATCTATTTCTTACTTGTTCAAAACATTTTTTTTTTTTTTTTTTTTTGTTTTCTTGAGAGAATTGAAGCCTCAACTGTAATTGTAAAGGTCTAGGTAGATTTTAACTTGTATATGTAATTGAAAATTACAATAATTGTATGGGTGCTATGGTATATATGCCTGTAATCTTAGAACTGTGGGAGACTGACATACAGATGGAGCAATTTATTTAGCAAGATCCTGTCTCAAAAGGGCTGAAGATTTGAAGCCTCTGGGATCAATCTCCAAGCCTCTATTCCCCCAAGGAGGGGAAAAAAACAAAAAGAAAAAAAGGAAAAAACAATTTGGTTTAAAGTCCCTGGACCATTAGATACTTTTGATACTGTGGGCTCTTAAGGAGTCTGAATTGATCAGCCAAAGCTAAATATCATTCTGTGTGCAGATAAAGGTTTTTTTTGGGGGCTGGGGATTCAGCTCAGCGGCATAAGTGCCTGCCTTGCAAGCAGGCAGTCGTGAGTTCGATCCCTGGTACCGATAAAAAGGAAAAAAGGTGTTTTTTGGTGGTGGTTTTATTCTCTTGAGCAGCACATGTTTTAATATTATTTTCTTCTGATTGCTAACAGAAATACTGCTGACATCCCTATACTTCGACCTCTAAAGAAATCAGTGTACAAATGCTACTGCCATAGGATTACTGGGAGTCAAAGAATCATTGTTCAGGCATCCATTTGTGAAGTGAGGACCAGCTTTGATCTCCATCAGGGGTATTCCAAGTTACATCATTTTGCAGGACTTAAAACTGAAGCGCAATATCTTTTGTTTTGGTGTTTCCTCTACTTTTGTATATCATGTGTTCAAAACAGTTTTTTTGATACTCTGCTTTCTAGGAATTTGATTCTGCAGAAGTGGAATGAATGCCAATACTTGGTTCTTCTGTATCACTTCCTTCTGCCTTGTTAGCCAATGTCTCTCAGCTGAATGTAGGTGGGCCAGAGAGCAGTGAAGAGATCAAAACTAGTTTCTGTAATTGGTTGTATTTAACAGAGAGCTTAGTCTCAGTATTGAAGTGTTGTGTTAAAGTTAATTTTATACTGCCTGTTATGCAGTGGAATTGGCATTTCTGAGTCTTTGTTTTTTCCTGAGCATTGTTCTAGGCCTTCTCCTCATGAACATTTCATACTCCATACTCAGCATTTGTCATTGATGTCCAGTAGCTTTGCAGAAGGGAAAATAAGATGACAGTATTTAATTTGCAACGGTGGCAGTTTTTCATATGCTAACGTGCAGCTGAGTGCACTTTATTTAAATAAGTAATGGATAAATGCAATATTCTTGATCTTGAGGAATGGTGAAATACATTCCTTGTTTTTGTCTCCACTAATCTGTTGGACAATAAGTGTGACTTTTTTTCTTTTAAAGTGCTGGTGTCACCCTTTGCCTATATGGTAGAGCAATAATGCTTTTTGAAAATAAACTTCTGAAACTTTAAGGCAAGTACTGCGCTCTGAATCAGAAGTTTGCAGTGTTTCTGTGAATAGATTTTTTTCCTGTAAATATGGCCTATTAAGATATTGCATTATGTAAAATATGTATATACCTTTTTTTGTAAGTCATAACTCATTTTTACAGTTTGTGAAGCTGAATATTTAACACTTGTTGATTTTAGTAAGCTCTGTATGGTGAAGATCCCTGAGTCACCTGGTCCTTGGGGTGGAGGGGATTACAAAGGTCTACAGTTTTTTCTCTTCCCCAGTGTTAGAAGCCTCACTCTTTCCATTCTTTCAGTCTAAATGCTTTTAAAAGAGATCATTTGTTTAGATGTAAGCATCTGAATTTTTAAAAAATTCCTTTCCAGTTTAACTCTAAGCACTTTGTTAATTTGGGGGGAATGACTAGATACAGAGGAAGAAAAATCAGGATTTTGAAGAAAAACAATTTGATTTTAAAAATCTTTTGGATTTTAAGCAGTCCATAAATTATCTTTCCCTTTGTAAAATTTAAATTAAAGTACCCTCTTGTCTTTTCAATCATTTTAGGAGTGAATCCCATACTGAGATTGCAAGGGTAGAATCCTTGGTGTGTGGTTTCTGGTGTCTGCTCAGCTGTTCTTATAGAGTCTTCTGCATCCCTGTGAATTAGAATAGTGTCCCTTTTATTGCTTAAAGAAGTACCACCCAGAATAGACTGCGCTGTAGAACACCTTTGCTTGTTCCCCTCTTTCCCCCTGCCACTTTGTGCTGTTGCTGTTCCTTGACACCTCTGTCTGGACTTAGGGAAAATCAAGTTGATTCCCTTTACTGGGTTATTCTATTACGTTCAAAAATTAGAATGAGATTTGTGTTTTTATAATATCTGTAAATTTCAAATGACTTTTTGAGCCTTTCTAGCAAAACCTGAGAACAGTTTATTTTTTGAATTTCATACATTTAGCAAAACTTTCTAGATGTCTCTGAAGTGGAAAGATAACTTAATTTCTTTGACATGCTTACGAATGAGTGAAGCTCCATATTTGCAGAACCACAACTAGAGTGCATTTTATTTTTCAAACATTGTGCTTATTAATCATGAGTTTGCCATGCTTTCCCCTTTCCACAGGTGTTCAGATTTTAAACATTATCTTCCATTGTACAGCTTGTGCTTGTCAGCTGACACTTCAAGTGCTCTCTTTCAGTCCAGGAAGGTTGTGTGTGTCTGAGCCTTCCACAAAACAAACTCTGCATGTCAGGACAGAATAGTGCTCCTGCCTTTCTTAAGAGTTACTCAAAACAAAACGTTGTGTGACTCTTTTCTCATTCCTGACTCCAGGCTACATGGAAGGCAGCGGCATCCCATTTTTTTGTATGGGAAAAATAAGTTTTAAGTTTTTATGGTTTCTACCTGTTGATTTTATTGGTGAAAATTCAGTATTTTGATTTTCTTATAACAGATGCAGTCTTTGAAATTTGCTATTTTTATCTTTATTGTCCTTTAATCTCTTTTGGATAATTCTTTGTACTCCTGCTGTCTACCTCTCCTCATTCTCAGCCCCCCATTCCTTTTTTTAAACATAGGTATTTCTTGGGTAAATCGTGTAAGTCTTTCCATCCGCTTTTAGAATGTGGGATATTTCCAGTACCTACTTTTTTGCTGAATCCAAAGATATATAAATAAAATATATATTTTATGAAGATCAAAATGATATAAAAGGACATACATGTTTCTTTAAAAAAGTACAAGTTTCATTGTTAATGTTCATAATTGTCCATCTGTATTGAAAGGTGTAAATATCTGTAAACAGTCCTACTTAGTTTATCAATATTGAATATATAAGGTGAGTTGGGGTTGGGTACTACAGAAGATCATTGGCTTGATGTCCTAGAAGTACTTTTTTCCAGAGGTAGATGCAGCTGGAAAGTAAACCAAATGGAATCCCATTTGCCCATATGCAGGATCAGGTCCCTTTTATTTTCAGAATGCCTGCGTTTTGTTCACAAGTGTGGAAATGCACATTTATCTTCTAGGATACATATTTATCTTCTAGGATACATGAAGATTTACCCCTGCAGCAGAGTAATAAGTTGTTTGCAACTCCAGGGCAAACCATTTCAAATGAGCAATGTGTTTTTTTATTCTTCCCTCCTATTTCTCTTTGCAATATATGGAATTTTGAAGATGGAACTGTCATTCTGAGAGCAATATTTAAATTCTCAGGAATTGACTTACAGTATTAATAATCAATTTGCTTTCAATCAAGTTTACATGGTTGATTCTAAAAAACTGAAATTGTTCTTTTACACTGAAGAGAATTTAAACTACATGGGATCACTCATGAAATGGGGTGGTGAAGTATTACTTCTTTGCTAACCATTTTGAAAGTCCTTGTAAATAAAGGTTTCTATTTAAAATTGGTGATTATGAGCATGATTCCTCCCCTTTCCCCATCGATTGGATTAAGGGCAAAAGAAAAAAAAAAAGGGCTATTTCAAATAGCAGCCCCAGTTTTGGTAAAAACGGTGTTTTTGCGCTACGGAGCCTGTGCCTATTTGTAGTATTGGAAAGTGGAACTCTTTATGGAATCACCTATCACATGAGAAATGGTGGAGTGTTCATGGTGAGGTTTCTTTTACTTCTAGGACTCTTCCAGGTTTTGCTGTACCTGGAGAAATCTGGTAAGATGAACTGCTTTGCTCTTAATCCTTTTAAAAGCTTGTGCAGTGTGAAACTTAGTACCAGTGAGGGCCCTTATGGTAAATTTTAGACATTCATTTAAAACCATTTGTTCCAGTTTAAAAAAAGAAATCTTCTGAATTAAGTTATGTGCTTACAAAAAGGCATTGACTGGTAGTATCTTGAGTGCTCTTAAAATTGAGATGAGGAGGGCCTGTCCCAGGATGCTGTTTAACAAAATGTCAGATTTCTTCATATCAATTGCTTGTCACTCGTTAGGGTTTTGAACATTGTATGACTAATTACAAAGTATCTTTATAAATACAGACTTAGGACATATATCACCTTCATTTCTTTTCAGTACCATAAAAACAGCTGTTCTGGAATGGATAACAAAGGAATAAATACTGGGCAAAATTGTATTTGGGCAGCAACAGAAATGTCCACAACTGGATTAGATTTTCTTTTACACTGGCCACAGAGCGTTTATTGACACCACCACGCTTGAAAAATTGGGATTATTCCCCTAAAAGTTCCCACGTTGGTTACATGTAAATAGTCACATTATATATACAGGGAAGGCAGTTTCTTAAGAGGCAACCAGGGTTATAGTGCTAAATAAATGTCACTTTTTGTGCTATTGATTCTTTGTTAAACTGTGCAGTTTTCAGCATCTGCAAGTTGCCCATCCTGCTTTGTGATGAATTAAAAGAATAAGAGGATTTAAACCAGTATTGTTGTTTTTCTATGATTTTTAAAAAAACTCCAGCAACTTTCACCTCTCACCTGTGTGCAAGTTTCCATGAAAATCTGTGTTTCTCCCTCGAGATTCTCAAAGAAGATTACTGGTGACTTTTTGATATGAAAATGCATTTTGTGCAGCTAGTGAGGCATAATCCAAAGCAAAGCAGGGGTGAAATGGGACGTCCTGAAGTTGTCCGCTTCTGATGGTTGTCCTCCAGAATATGCCAGTGTTGACTGAAAGCAGTTGTCTCTCTCTCAGACCTCCTGGCCTGTATTGCAGGTCAGTCAGGAATCTGATGTGGCTCATTCTTTATGGCCTGGTAAGTCAGGGAAGCCTCTGGTTTCGGAGGTCCGTCCCTGTTGCTTGTTAACCTTCCCAACCTTCCCACAGTTGTTCCCTGTAGGACAAAACAAACTCCTCTCAGCCTTTGACTGTCATCTTGTTTTGGACATTTTAATAGGTCCTACAGCTGACTGTGTAACCATTGCTTCAAGGTTGTGGCTGCTGAAAATGAGTTATTCTATGTCACTCCTAGCGCCCCGCCCCATTATATTCTTTTTTATTTGCTGACTTACACATGCAGTGGCTGGTAAAGATGGCATTTAAGGATTTGGGTAGAGTGGCCAATAAGAATGTGAGATGCAGACTAAAGAAATACTTCTTTCTTCAGCAATAAGTAATGTGTCACTAAACATGTAGAATGTGACTGCAAATGGCAGGTCATTAAGGGAGTTGGTTTCCTCACATGTTAACTTAGTGTCAAATTAGTTGCCACTGTCAGAACTGAATTATAACACACATAATCTGCAGTTTGGGCTTAAGGTCTTGAAACTGTTTGCTCCTGTCTTGAAGAGAACAAACTAGCCACTCTTAATAATCGTGGTAAACTTTCCAGCTTACCACAGACTCCAAACAGCGCCTTCCAGCCTCTCATCCCTGGAATGACACATGATAGGTTGGACATTTTGGAAGTGACTTAATAAAGTGACCCTGCTACTGATGGCAGGATCACCTACCATTTAGTGCTTTGGCAGCCACAGCCTTAAAGATGTCTGGCGGTTGTAAGTCACACCTCAAGTTCACTAAGCACAGAGTATCACAGAGTGAACAGCTATTAATCTAACATTACTGTTTCCCTTTTCATCACAGGAACAGTGAAACTAATAGGAAATGCATGCAAATAGAATAACCTTGGCAAAAGGAAGCAAGTCAGAACCAGATCTCTATTTGTAAACTGGTTCCTCAACTCACAGTGATTTGGAAGATGGTCTCTTCATTTCTGGCCATTTTCGACGCTGAAACTGCCTAAGTTTTCAAGTGTCAAAAGGAGAATGAATGTTAACCATCACCAAGAAAGAAGGTCATTCCCAAAGAACTGTACAAAGGACATTTATCACTGTTCGTGATTCAGGCCCCAGGCAGACTGAGAAACAGCAGTTTCTCTGTCTATTAGGTTAAGCTTCACAGACAAGAGACTAAAGGTCAAGTTAAGACATGGGAACTTTCTTCAAGCAGTAGTAACAAAAGCGAATACCTGTATTGCTCATAGCTTCCTCCATCTTTAAGTCCTAAAGGAGGGAGAAATGAACAAATTGCAACAGACATTTTAGGGCAAAAACAGCACAATGAATGGCAGACTTCTAGAAAACCACCTTAAGCTATGTAGATGCCAGTAGTGTTTCCTAGTCAGATGGAGTGGACCAAATCATGAGGTGAACTTTGCTTAGGTGTCCTATGTAGTCCTGTAAGTTGTTTCCTATCTATCCAGGTATCACAGTGTCTGTTTTAGGATGCTGATGCCTTCATTCAGCACTGTCCTTAGCCATGGTGGGAGTTAGACCTGGGCATGAATGCTTGTTCTATGGTGTACTGACACCAAAGGTCCCAGGAAATGTATCTTGAGGATTCGGCAATGTATTAGGTGTGTGGCCTTGGGAGTCAGCCTCCAGGTTCACGTAACTCACGCATAAAATTAGAATAAGATTCATGCTAGCAGGTGGTTTCAGAATTAACTGTGAATGTTTATCAAACGCTTGGCCCAGTGCCTGGCATATAATGACCAATAAGTGATTGTTTTCTGCTTGGTAGAGCAGGCAGTGTCAATACTACACCTCTGTAAACTCTTGCTCTACCCTTTCATAACCAATCCTGACTGTACCAACTGGATGCTTCCTTTGCAGCTGCTTAGCCCCTTTTCTGTCAAACTCTAGGCATCATACATGATGCAGGTTAGCCTTTTATGTACCACAGGGTTATAGTTTAGGTTAATCTGTGTTTGTTGCAACTAATAAGTGCATGGATTCCATCTCTCAGGGGTTTGCTTTGTTAAGGGAGTTAGTCTTGCAATTACTATGTAACCAAGTCCAGCCTCAAACTTGGGATGATCGTATTTCTTTTCAAAGTATTTAATCCCCATGTTGAACTTAAAACTGCAGTTTCCTCTCTTGTCCCCCACAAAATCCAGAAACAAAAGCGATGTATAATATACTATAAATTTGCTTTCTTTGATTATGTTCTTGTGAGCTTTACCACCTGAATCTCCAGTTTATCATTTTCCCTGGATAACTGTGTTGTTACTATTTAACCTATACAGTTTGATCCTCCACTTAATACGGGCTGTTTGACTGCTCAGGGATTAATTCGTTTCCTAAAGCATCTAGAATAAAATCTAAATTTCCTACTGTGGCCTACACTAAGCCCCTTAGAGGGTGGTTTTGTGCCCTGTCACACTCTTAGCACTTTCCTTTACCTTGGCTCTGGAAGGCAGAGCAGCCCTCCATGGTTTTGTCTAATAGTGGATTATTCCTTACTCTCTGGGCTCCGCTCAAAGATCACTTCTTAGAGTGGCCATGCCTGACCTAGGCTCTGTGTAAGGGAAATTCTTTTGTGGTTACATTGCATGATAATCCTATTTTGTCTCCAATCAAACTAGAGGCTTGCCCTGTGAGATCAGTGTATGGTCATCTTTTTAAATTTCCAGTAACCAATACAGTCCCAGGTGTGATTTCTCAGTACATGTAGTAGATGTTTGATGGATGATTGAACAAACAGAGAAAAATAAAATGATAAGTAATTTTGTGTTTTCTGTTTAAGTGGCTTAGGTCACTGATTGTTAACCTTTGAGCTTTCAACGACAATGGTCTGTTGCGGTGCATGTGCTGTGGTTGTGCTACTACTTAATGGTTTTTTTTTTTTTTGTGTGTGTGTGTGTCTTTTTATCTCTTTGAGTCTTGGTTTTTCCCTGTGTAGCTCAGGCTGGTCTCAAACTCCCGAACATCCTTTTGCCTCAGCCTCCCAAGTGCTGGGATTACAGGTGTGCCATCATGCCTTGCTACGAAGCATAGTTTATCAAAAGCCAGCTGCCTGCTTGCTATGGGCAAGTGGCCTCTGTAAGTTTCCAGATGGCTTGAATTGTATTACCCCAACTACTGGGGACTCTCGGGCATACTCTTCAGGTAGATCAGACCTCAGAAGTAAGTTCCTTCCTACCTTTTTCCCTGTATGCTTTGCTGGGGCACTACTCACCAAGGTCCATGTTCCGTGTCCGGGGGTTGCATTGCTTGTAGCCTTTGCAGCTTCTCAGCTCCATGAGCTGCACATGTAACTGATTTAGCACGTCCCTGTCCAGTGTGTTCACTGCATTCATCAGCTAGTTGAGAAAAAGTTGGGTTGTCAACAAGGTGAATTCAGGAACTCTCGCCCCCCCTCGCTGGTTCTGCAAACCCCAGAAACTGTTTCAGGCTGGCCAGTAGCAGTAGCTCCTGAGAAGAAAGCTGTCAGATGGGTCACTCTGTCTTCTATAAGAGCTAAGGTTCTGAAGAGTTGGGTGATGCTTTAGTTTTTAATTCCCACCAGGTCCTCTTCATGAGAGTGGTAACTCATGAGAATAAAAAACATGTTGTTCTATGCACTTACTGTTGAACTTCTGGAGTCAGGAAACTTAAAAGGGTTGGGAGCCTTTTCAAGACTTTGGAGATTGTTTCTAGCCTTCACTCACAGTGCCTCAATTTCTTTTGATTGAAAAGGGCCCATTTTGTGAAGGGTCGGCTAATTTACTGGACCCTTGCCTAGTCTGGGAGTCAGTGGTCGTCACTTAGATCCTCTTATAACTTACAGGGTGACCTGTCTGAGGAAGACCGACTGGTAGCCTGCATTGGAATCTGCTGACATAAAACAACAGAACTGCTTAGATTTAGGAATGGAAATTAACATAAGAGATTAAGACTTTTCTTAAAAGGTTGATGGTTGGGCAACACCAAGGTCACACTCCTGTAGCTCTGGTGCTGAAGCTCAGTAGTGACTGTCCCATACAAGGGCTCATATGTTTTACACTGCTCATTTTTGTGTTACTTGTGACTCTGATTTAAGCAATAAGCACAAAGCATGGCACATGTGCATGCTGGGTGCCTGTCTTCATGTTGCCTTAGTTACATGTTCCTTGTAGACCATGGCTTCAGTGTGAGAGCTGATTTGAGGAAGCCTCCCTGAAGTTAACTTGGCACCCTAAGGTACACAACGGGTATGACGGTAGGGCGCACTCCTTGGACATAAGCCCCTAGATTTTTAGTCGGTTTAGTACACAGTCCTCCTGTCTTTGGGACTTACTGGGACTTGGAAACTTGTCTTCGCCTCTTCTAGGGGTGAGCGACCTAAAAGCAATATCTGTATAACTCCTAGCCCTTTTTCTCCAGCTGGTTATTATCGATACCTGGTACGGGTCTGTGTTAAGGTCAAAATACTCCAGGAAGCCAGTTGCAAATTCACAGAAGAGAAAGTTATGGGTCTCGTTGATTGTCCTCATGCACCAGTATGTATTATTGTTGGCACTTGTGCAGGCACAGAAAGGTCCCACTGCCAAGGGAAGAGAAAAATGCCTTGAAATGTGTCTGAAGAAAGAAGCTCAGTCTGGCAGCTGATTCCTGTCAAGGGACAGCCCTTGAGTCAGTTCCTCAGATGCCAAGTGACAGTCTGCAGCATGTGTTTCTAAGAGACCTATAAGACAGTGAGGCCTCACTAGCCAGGAGCAAGGAATTCACCATGCAAAATGGGCCCTAGCCTCCCATCCCTGTCCTGTGTCTGCTCCTAGCCTGCTCACATGTCCAGAGAGGCGCTGTTTGCCAGTGCTGGTTGTCGTGGGTGAAGCATGTGAGGCCCGGCATGCTGCATGTGTCATTATTCTGGAGACGCTTGAGCAGCTTGCGCAGTTTCTTCTTGCGCTTCTGTTCCCTTAGCAGCCACACTTTGTCCTTCTCTTGCAGACCCTTCCTAGAGACAAAACAACCACACAAAGGTGCCGGTGTGGTGACACACACCTGTAATCCTAGCACTTGGATGAAGCAGGAGTATTTTTGAAATTTCAGGGCCAGAACCTACCTAGAGAGATCCTGTCTCAAAACATAAATCCAAAAGAACCATACAGCATTGGGATCGTGTGGGATCAGTGACCCAAAACTACTGCCCTTCCTGTCCATGCTCTGGTTCAACTGTGTCTTTTCCAACAGAGGACCCCAAGTTTCCCCATGGGGGCTAGGTAGAGTTGGGGCCAGATTCTGGGGCTTCTTTTTTCATGTTGCCTTCAGTGGCTCCCAAGATAAAAGCTGGGTGATCACTGGGGCTCCTGTTTACACCATCTTCCCTCTTGGGGTTCCAGGTATACCCCATCTAGCCAACAACTGCATCTGACTACTTGCTCATTTTGGCTTAGGAGTTGGGGCTAAGGACAGCCACACACTTCCAGGGAAAGCCAGGACTTCTTGTTTATTGTTCTTAGGGGAGGGCATCCTCTCTGCTTATCTTCTCTGGAGCTCTTACCTGAAAGGGTGCAGGCTGGAGCCTTTGTGCTTGAGGCGGCCTTTGTGTTGGGTTTGGTAGCTGGAACAGATCCCAGTGTCAGAGGCATGCAGGGTAACCCTGGTGCAGACTATTGTTCCTGGGACTCCCTTAGTCACTGTTGCCCCGCCCTGTGGTGGTGGTAGGAATGGTACTGTACTGTCCCTAGGGTGCCAGCCTCTCATTGGCTTTTTCTTCCAGGTGTGAACTGCAAGCTCCTACCTAAAGGCCTTGGGCCAGACTTTTTTTTTTTTTTTTTTTTAAAGGAAAGACTAGGAGCTGAGCCTGGCTTTAGCCAGGCATCACCCCTCGGCTACTGAGTTTGGTCCTCACCCTCCCTTTTACTTTATACTTTGCCAAGCCAGCACTGGAAATCTGTTGTTCCCTTCCTGGGAAGCTGGCAGAGGTGGTGCAGGTGTACTGTCCCGTTGAGGTGCTACTGGCTACATGTGGCTATTTTAGCTTACTAGGTAAAATGGAAAATGCTGTGGTCTCTGGCTACTGTTTTCGCAGTTCAGATAGAGGTCATTTCCATTGTGGGAAACTGTTTTGGACAAGGCTGCTCTGTACTTCAGTTGTTTGTGCCAGCGGACCTTCTGTCATGATGTAGACCTTGAGCCATGTGGATGATTTCCAAAGGACATGCTTTTAAAAAGGAGCTTTTCCTGCCTGGAGCCAGTGCTGGATGGGAGAGCCTGCCCCATGTGAGCAGTGCAGGGATTGGGTCCCTGAGATGTGCATGTACTACGCACCGAGCTGGCTCACAATTGGAGATAACAATTACTGATTTTTTTTTAATTTTTTTTATTGGTACTGGGGATTGAACTTAAGACCGCCTGCTTACAAGGCAGGTGCTTATGCAGCTGAGCTAAATCCCCAGCCCTGATTTTTTTTTTTTTTTTAACCCTGAGGCTAAGGTTAAGAATGGAACGGGTCAATAGTAATGAGGTGACACTGTCTTCAGGAATGGTCCTCAGGAGGGGATGGGGCAGTTTGGTAGCTCCTCACCTAATTTTGTGGCAGTCACATTCTTCTGGGCGCTTTTTCTTTAGGTGACCTCGAACTTCCCTGAGGTTCTTAATTTTGTTCTGAAGAGTTTCAATCTGAGGAGGAAGCAAGAGGGGAGGCCTTAAAGGGAACAGCCTGGTGACTGCCCCAACCCTGCTGCTTTTGAGCCCAGGGACTCATAGATGTGTCCGCATTTGGGGGTGCTGAGAAGGTACTTCCATTGGATAAAGCGAGTCCTCCTTCCCTCAAACTAAGCTATTACGAGGAGATGTAAGCCATTCTGTGATGGCCTGAAAACAGGCTGAGCCCACTGAGACCTGAACTGTGTTTTCCAGGCAAGCTCAGATGCCTAAGTGTGGTAGAGACGGTTTGGAAGTCAAGGGTATAATGTCGCTAAGTTGTCTTCCCATAGACAGCTTGCTGTAGGAAGGGTGCTAGTCTGATGCTCCTGTGCCCAGGTTGTGGATTCTGTAGGACATCTCCTGTTTTTCCCTGGCGCGGCCTCCCAGAGGGTGGTGAGTTGCTGAGAGCCTGGCTGCGTGCTCCTTGTCCTTTTATGCTTACCTCATGGTCGATGTGTAGTTTGTGGTCTTTCCAGGCCTGCAGGGACTTGTATAGGTCCAGGTCACACTGGACTGTGTCATTTTCTAGGATGTAGCACCTGATCAAGAGTAAGTGTCACACGTGTGACCTTGAGGCATCAAAGGGGCCCATCTAGCTCCACCCCCAATCTCTGCCTAGCTTCTCACCTATGGGTTACTTTAATGGGGTTGGGGGCTGAGTAGTCTGGAAGGCCTCCAGTGCCACTGAAGCCCCCACCTTCCTTGTCATCTGGGTCCTCATGGCCTCCCTGCCAGTGCCGCTTGGTAATGTTGCGGGTCTGGGGTGCTTCATTCAGGCCTAGGTGGTACACTTCGCCGTCTACCTCAATGGCCACGGAGCGGATGGAACGGTTACGCCCATAGCTGGCCTTGTACTCTGTGGGCATCAGAGGGTGGCTGGGTTAGCAAGGCTTGGAAAGGCTGTCCAGCAGACCCTTAATGATGGTAAAGCTGAGAGCATGAGGGTTAGTGTTCTATAGGACTTGTGGACCTAGGAACTTTGTCTACTTGCAAGCATGTCCTGGGCCCCAGGGAGGGACTTCAGGGTAATTACATTAGGGAGACTGAAGGCCTTGAGCTAAGAAATAACTGGCCTGAGAGAATTTCAGTGGAGCTATGCATAAACAAATTATGGCACATCCAAACCAACAACATTCAGCTGCAAAAAGAAGTCCTGATTCATGCCATAGCCTAAATCAATTCTGATGAATCTTTTAGATAGAGGTTTCAATCATAACAACAGTCCAGTGTGGCATGCATGCCATAGGTTCACCACCAGGGGCTCCATAAAATGTTAGAAGCATTATGCTATGACACAGAAAATCACATACTGGTATCACTCCGCATATGTGAAATATACAGAACATGGTCATTCTGTGGAGGCAGAAGGTGTACTAGTGGTTGTCAGGGCTGGAGGATGCTATACAGTCACTTCTCACGGGTGGTGAGAAATTTTGGAACTAGCAATGATACAATACTGGATGTCTTAAAAATGCTTCAGTGAAAGACTGAAATGAGCACACTATGTGAACTTCAGTAAACAAAGGACAAAATAACGGATATAAAAATAGGGGTTGGGAAAAATGATCTATACAGCAATCTGGACAGAAAAGGGGGTAGTCAGGGAGTCACCAGCCTCTGTCTTCCTCATTAGGATGTTTTTTGCTGTGGGGTGCCTGCCTGTCTGTGGAAAATAGGACATGCAGGTTCATGCAGTTAGCCCCAGGGCATCATGATCTTTTGTTCTAGTGGAAAGTTCAATTAACTTGATAACTTTGGGGGAAAAAGAGTTGGTGAGGTGGGGGTTTAGCTTGGTGTAAGGGCCTAAGTAAGCTAAGTGGCAAGCATGAGGTTGTGAGTTTGATCCGTGGTACCCCACCTTCCCCCCCCCGTGTTGGTGATCAGATGTGTAATTGAGTACTTAATTCTAAACGGTCAGCAAGAGTAAGAATCTACAGCATTACGTTTACAGACCTTTCCAGGCCTCTCGGTTTTAAAACTCTGCCCTTTTTGGTCTTTTTCATTTTTATGGGTACCCGGTATCGAACTCACGACCGCCTGCTTGCAAGGCAGGTGTTTATGCCGCTGAGCTAAATCCCCAGCCCCTAAAACTCTGCCGTTTCACTTGAAACTTCAATTCCTGAGTGGCTCAACCTGCAGTGAAATATCTGAAGCCTCTCCAAAATGTAGTTTCCTGAGATGCAGATGGAGCAGGTTACTAGCCTAGACCATTACATGGCAACCAAGGAAAACCAGGTGGGGGCTGTAGACAATGGCACCTAAGCTGCTGCAGCCTCTCTTTCCCTGTAGCTCTAGGATCCTGTTTTAGTTTCGTATCTTTCAGTTCTCATATTCCTTGTATCTGAATCCCAGGCCAATCGATCTTCAGGGCTGCTAGAGAGGCTAACCCTTGTTGGCAAAACTTTGAGACTGTTGGGCCATTTTTATCTCCCTGCACGGAGCACTGAGGAATTTTCCCTGTGCCATCAGGTCATGCCCTTTCCACATTGGTCATGAAACAGACTTCAGCTCCTTTGGTCTCACCTGGCATGGGAGTTAGCTGCTTTGCATCTTTGCACTCTCTGTCTCCTAGCTAGAAGGTTAGAGTTCCCCAAACCTGTAGGTCCTGAACTAGCCATAGCCCACTAGAACAGAATTGAGTAACTGAGACAGAGAGTATAGACCCCATAAAACATGAGTTGTCACCTTTTGCTGAAGTTAAACAGCCCTGTATTGACTATTCCTGCACTGCAGCTACACCTTCACCTTTCAGTATCACTGAGTTTACACCACCTCAGAGGTAACTTCCTGCCACACAAACAGGGTAGCACCAGCTCTTCATAACCTGGTGGCCGAGATCTTGGTCATGCTCAGGTATAAATCCTGGTTACATGCATAACCATGGTGGCTCAGTTTACTTCTGAGCAGTGATGGTATCATGATGTCCATATTACAGAGCTCTTTGGAGAATGACCTGAAACAAAACTGGTAAATTTATCAGTACTTGGTGAGCTGGCATTGATTCACTACTCCAGGGCCTTGGCACTGCAGTTGTGACATCATCTCACCAGTCGAGCTGCTCCCCACATTCAGGCCAATACTGGCTGTTTTTATGTGGCTGGGACGCATCAAGTTCTCTGACCAGCACTTGCTCTCTGGCAGGTCACAAAAGCTTGCTCTTTAGCTCTGATCTCATTTATATGCCACTGATCACCCATCTGTCCTTGGATACCTATCTACCTGGTCACCATCTTTGCATTTTCTTTATGCCTTTTCATCATGGGAAGTGGCTTGTTATTCTGGCTTTTACATCTTGATTCATCCATGGTTCAAGCCAGGTCTCTCTCCATTCAACTCTAAGCTCAGCATCTAGTATAGAATAGAGTTTATAGATTTGCTGAGAGAATAACAAACACTGGTCACCTGGGGCCATCTTGGAATACTCCTCACCCTCATCTGTTCCTGGATGTTATTCTGTGTTGGCTGGCTGCTTGGCTTCTGCACACCACAGCCATAATTTCAGTGGGTTGAGGTGGGCCAAGGCCTGAGCTGTGCAGGACCAGTGCTTCTCAGCCTTGGCACTGTTAACTGGTTTATGGAGGCATCCTGTGTGTTGTAGGGTGGTAGCAGCATCCCTGGCCTCTGCTTACTACATGCCAGTAGCACCCTATCCCTTCAAATTGTGACAGCCAAAAAAATGTCTAGATGTGGACAAATGCCATGGGGAACAAGATGCCAGGCTTTGCCAGAAAGGCAGGATGGAGAGTGTCCTCTTGGTAACAGATGGGACTGGAGTCCCCTGATAGCCATGTGACTTTTTCCCACATTCATCATAAGAAGTGGTCACTCTGGCGTGCTCACAGGGCTGTTGCGAAGCCCTGTAAGCCAGTTTGGATGTTACGCTACCTTTACTTAAATTGTACCTTTGAACTGGGACTGACTGAAATGTCCTCTTTCTTGCATTTTTCCTTTCCTCTAACCATTAATGGAATAAAGAGTGGAGGGAGCTTAATTTAGCCTCAGGTTCTTCTGTTATTTAAAGATTATCTGTGCCACATATTGAAGCCAAGAGATGATGTATAATTCAACCTGGAAAAACTGATTGTTGACTTCAGCTAAAAATGTCAGCTCCGTAGTTACTAATCAACTCGGGAGGAAAAGGAACAGGACCTCAACCAGGAAGCCTTGTTTGAGATAGGAGTTGGTCATTTCAGAGAGTTTATCCCCATGACAAAGGTGTCTATTGCCTGACAGTCTATGGAGCCTACAAGGAGACAGTGTACCTACATCTCTAATTAGACTGCAATGAGCTATCACACAGCCTCAAAAAGGGAGAGAGTTCTGCCACATGGACGACTCAACCTATGTTACACAGAGCGAGAAAAGGCGTTCACACACAGACAGTGCCTTGGGGTAGAGACAGTAGGAGGATGGGCTCGGGGACTGTTTGATGGGGACAGAATTAAACGAAGTTCTGGCAACTGGTTGTACAACAGTGTGAATTAATTCAGCATCACTGAAATGGAAACAAATGGCTAAGGTAGTATATATTAAAGCTTTTTATAAGTAATAACCAGATCTGTAGGCTTTGGCTATCAGGAAGCCAGAGAAATGGCAACAGAGGAGACCTCTCTGGAGAGGACACGGCTGGCCAGTTTGTCAGCATCCAGGAGCGCTCCTGGCAGTTTCAAAGCAATTTCGTTCCCACTTACAAAGAATGGTCCCTGTCTGCCTTCCATTTTGTGGGAAAGACCTGAGCCACAAGAGATGATGTATAATTCAACCTGGAAAAACTGATTGGTGCACATAATCAAGGATGATGGCCCAGCCTCCTAGCCAGGGCCAGAGGAATCCTTGGCTTTCAAGTCACTCTGCTCCTGGCCCCTCCAGGGGTATGGCAGCTGCTTCAGGGACTGGAGCTCTCTTGTCCCAGGTATAATCTCTTTTCCTTACTTTCAGTACTTGTTCATGCCCTATAAAGTTATTCAGACAAACTTAGTAAAGACTGAACAAGTGCTCCTAGTGGAAATCAGGATTAGGCTCCTCTGGTCACAGCACTTCGATCACCTCACCAACACTGAGCCTTGTAAGTGTGCTTCTCTAAAGACACATTGCTGGCCCATTATCCTTAAACATAAGGCCAGCAGCACAGCAGCAGCATAACTGCCTGAAGGAAGCTCACTTAAGCGGTGCATTTTCTCCATAAGACATTGTGGACTTCTTGTGCCTAGCCAGCACCTTAGCACTACACTTGGGGACATTTAAACAATGAAATTGCCCAACAAGCGGAAAAGCATGGTCGTGAGGCACTAGACTGTGAAAAGGACCCTTTCGTAGTGTGGGACCTGAAATGAGGAAGGTTGTTCTTAGCAAGGAGCATATTAATCAACTCAAAACATGTCCCTTCAAAAGTGACACAAACATTGATTTGAGGGCCACAAATCAATTTTGGGATAAGGTGAGTTTGCAAATTTGGAACCTGTCAAGAAAAAACATTGACTGTAGCAGCATGGCCTGATGGCTGTCTACTCAGTGATCCCCCCCCCCTTTTTTGTCTTTTTCTTTTTTATGAGTACCAGGGATCGAACTCATGACTGCCTGCTTGCAAGGCAGACGCTTATGCCTCTGAGCTAAATCCCCAGCCCCTCATTTCCTCTTGATGCCACAGTCCTGCCTACACCACCTGGCTTCTGGGTCAGTCAGGTCTCTGAGCCAGGCTGGTAATAGACTTCTGCTTCTGTTATCCCCTGTAGCTCATTGAAAGGCCGCTCGAGGGGCCTTTGAAATCACATCTGACCTTGGCCCTCCCTCTGCCCCACTTTTTTGTAGCACTACTTGGATGTAGGTTCACTGCTGTTTCCACTGGACTGAGTGGTTTAAGAGGAGTCTGGCACTGTCTTTGGTTCCTACAATGACACCTGGTCAAAGAGGCAAATACCTTGGGAATTGTTTGAACAAACGGGACCTCCAAGCACGTCGCCTCCTGCCCAGTTCTGCTCAAGCTATGACACTTACTCTTCTTGAAGAGCTTCTTCCGGCGTCCAGCCAGGCCCAGCTTGTAGTCGCTACGCTCACAGGTGCAGGCTTTGCTCCCCTGCCCGTAGTATTTGGGCACGAGGTTGGAAAAGGGTTTGTCACTGCTGCTGCCAAGCCGAACAGGGCCCTTGCACTTGTGAAGTTTCAGCTTTCCCGAGGCATCCTCCACACACTGCCACTTCTGCAAATGCACACAAGGTCTCAGACTCGAGTGCCTTGGTCCCCAAACCTAAGGACTACCCTCTCTCTGTCCATGTGCAGCGGTTGTCAGCCCTGCCCACCCCTATGGCCTTCATGTGCCTGCTCATCTCCACTGTTGCCGCTTGTACCTTATGGAAGCTACTATGAGGCCAACTGCTTCCTCCATACCCGCGTTTAGCTGCTTCTTTCTGTTGAAGTCTATGCTCACAGGACAGCTAGAGGAGTCTAAAAAGGGCAAGATCATAGCTTTCCTAGTTAAAACCTGCCAAGGGCGCCTGTCTTCAGGAGGAGACCCAAACCCAAGTACCTAGGTCTGATCTTCAATATCCTGCACAATCTGCCCTCTGCCCTCCTTCAGGGCATTTTATCCTGTTTTATCCCTGAACTCTCCTGATGCCCTAATATGCTGTCACAGAGCCTTTGCACTTGCTGTTCTTGTGGTCTAGAATGATTTTCTCCAGTTCTGCATGAAGTTGGAGGCTTTTCATCCCTCTGCTTCTGTCGTCTCTTTTGAAAACCTTTCCTAATCATCTCATTTAAAATCCTTTCCCCTCTCCAAAGGAGTCATTCACATAGAGTCAAATTATACAGGTACATGTCTGACTCCGAGGATTTGGTCAAAAGGTAACTAAACACAGTGACTCCTAAGTCTGTCTCCTATTGATTTTCCATCTCGCTGCTGGACTCCCTACTGGGTCCTACAGCAGAATTCTCTCCCCTGCTGTTTTTTTTTGCTTGCTTTGACCCTCTGACTGCTTATTTAGGGCCTGTTCTATGCTCATGCGTGTATCCCAGGACATGAATTGGATCTGTTTCCCGTGGTTATTGAGCACCTGTCCCTTACCAAGCACTGGCTGGTGGGCACTGACTTGTTAGATTCAACCCTGCCAGGCAGCTGCTGTCCTCATGCTCCTTTTTAGATGAGGCACAGAGACAGTGACTCGCCCTGGACACAGAGTTAGGAGAGGAGCTGGGGCTGTGATAGAATTGTCTTCTGCTCCTCAAGGCCCTGCCTCTCGTGCCCACCTCACCAGTCTGTCCTCACCTGGTGGCCGGTGTCAGGTTCATGGCTTTCTGTCCCTCACATCCACTCACTGTGAAGCAAGTGTACTCTCCTGCCTGCCCCAGCCTGCTGCCAGGCCCTCCTCTGCTCCCCTGCCCCTCAGTGGGTGTAACTTTATAGTCTTCACCCCATTTCCTTCTCGAACCCACCTTAACCTTCCAGATCTGGGAAAAGATGACACGTCCTGCCATCTCTGAATGCTATCTTAATAGTTCTGTTACAGCAATTTGCTTTTTAAAAACCATTTTCTCCAACTCCCATAAAAGGAAGACTAGCTACAAAGAAGAAACCATCAAAGTGAAGTTGCTGAAACTAAAGTTTACATCTGTGGCTACTGCTAGCGCCCTTGTGCAAGGGTCAGGAATCTGTGAGGAGCCCAAGTCACACCCAGGCCTCAGGACATTGTCTCTGACCTGGACAGGGCCCAGAAATGGTGAGGAAGGGGACTGTCCACTGTGAGCTTCAAATATGCACACTGGAGTCACATGTAGGACCTGAGGGAAGGAGAGAGGGATGATGGCAGGGAAACAGGGTGGTCACGGGCTCCTTACCTGCCCCAGCTGCTCACATGCTGTCTGGTACTCGGCACGCTGACACAGGTCCTTCACGCGCTGGAACTTGGGCAGGAAGTTCTCCTCCTGGGCATCTACCTTGCTGCTGTCCCTCTTATGGAGCAGTTTGCTGTGGGGGTGGGGCAGGCTTGAGCTCTGGAGGAGCCCTGGGGCAGTGGCTTGCCCTTACTTTGGAGCATGAAGGGCCAGCTGACCAGGGATGCTGAGTTTTAAAAGACTTATAAATCAGAATTTTATAGGAAACTTGAAAGGCTTCAGTTGCCAATAAATGAACAAACAACAAAGATACCCAGGCTGGATAAGACATGTCCAAGGGTACGTGTGTCCTCCAGGTGCAAACTGGGCCATCAACCACAGGGCACTGTGTCCTGGGCTTTGGACACAGCCTCCAGGTCATCAGACCCTCTCCCAACTTCCTCAGTGAGGTCTTTAAATGCCTCAGGACTTACCCTCTCTCCACCAAGAAGGAGTCCCGCCAGACCCTCATTTTCTTTTTCAAGTGAAACCTGGAAAACAGGCGAGCTCCAGCTTCTTATCTGGGGTCCCTCCCCAACATCCTCCTCTTCTTGGGGAGGGTTGTTCCCAGAGCCAGCCTGGCCCACAGTCAGGGTCTGAAGCTCCAGCTGTGCGTGTGTATCCTGTGCAGGGAGGGATGCTGAGGTGCTCTGAACTTCCAATTAATTACGTTCCAGGCTTTTCCTTGACTTTATTACAGTTGGAACTGTGGTCCTGGAGTGCGTACTTCTTGGCATGTTACGCTGCCTTTTCCATTTCCTAAATGGGCACACTGAGGCTAAGATGATGTTACCACATGGACCCTGACTCTTGGGATCTTGGCCTCTGAGCCAGTTTGCCTCCCCATGAATATCTATTTACTTCTTATAGCTCACCTGGCCTCTAATTGGAAGGAGTGGCTCACTGAGCTAATTAGCACCCTTCAGGGCTGGACTCTGGGGAAAGGGGAAGGAAGCAACAGTGCAAGCCCAAGGCTGAAATAAAGCCTGGGGTCAGTGGCCTGGTGGGCCGTCTCAGCACTGGCCATGAGATGTCACTCCTCCTCCTCACCTATGTTTTGGTCAGCACTCCAGTTCCCTTCTGCCTCACAGGACACCTAGGAACAGATTCCCATCATACCACCCATCATTAAAGCTTGGAGCATAGCAACAATCTAAATTCCTGGAGCTGCATGCAGACTTGTTGCCAAGTCACTTGGCCTCTTAGGGATTCAAATTCCCAGATGGCAGGTGGAGGTAATACGAGTGCTCGCCGAGTTATTGCGAGAACGGAAATGATGGCATTCCCTGCAAAGCACTTAGCACAGGACGTGGCACATACTACGGCATCAGCACAAACTCCATGGTTATGCCACTGCTATTATCTCCTGCTTTGCATAAGCTTAGCTTTGACCCGGTCCTCAAGTCCAGGTGGAAGCCCCAGTCTTGCAAAGGGTCCCTTTTTCCCCCCTCCCATGGCAGGTCGACCCCCACCTCGTGACCCTTGGGAGACCCCCAGACCCACATAGCCCTAAGTGTCTATAGGTTGGGGAGCCCTGTATCCCTCCCCTGGATCTGCTGTGCCCCTCACCGATTCACTGGCCGCTCCATGTCCAACAGCTTGAGGATAGATTTCCCATCCATGTCTGCAGGGATGTCCAGGCCGGCAATGTCCAGGATGGTAGGGGCCAAATCGATGTTGAGGACGATGTGGGGATTCCTGAGGAGACAGGGAGAGCAGGGACTTGGCCACCTGGCCTCACTTGGGAGAGAGGAAGCCAGAGGCAGAGAGGTCGCCAGGGACTGTTGCTTGCAGGTGAGGACTTCTGGATCGTGTTACCTCAACTCTCAACAGTTCTCCTGTGTTCCCGATTCAGTCAGCCCTCACCTGTGTTCACTCCCTTGCCTTCTAAGCCTCCCTACACAGCACAGCGCTGGGCTGACTGCCACCACCAGGGAGCTCTGCACCTTCAGTGCTACACAGACCCTGGGCCTTGCTGGATCCTCCATCTTCTAGGCACATCCTGCCCCTTGCTGCTCCTTTAGAGCTGGGCATAGTCTGGTCTCAGAGTCTCCATCCTTGCTGTGCCCTCTTCCTTGAATGTTCTTCCTGCAGAGATCACTATGACAGAAACTTCACCCTCAGTTCTTTCCTCAACTATTACCAAGGAGTTAGCTGGGAATAGAGGTGCACATAATCCCAGAACCCTGGGAGGTTGAGGCAGGTGGGTCCCAAGTTTTAGTGCAGCCTGGGCAATTTAATGACTTGCAAGACCCTGTCTCAAAATGGGAAAAAAAAAAAAAAAGGCTGGAGATGTAGCTCAGCGAATCCCCAGTATGCACCCCTCCACACACACACACACACACACACACAAAGTGAGTAGTATGTGGACAGCCAAGCGTCTTGGGGGCTTTGGGAGACTTGGGGTGAAGCTGCATGGTGCTAGAGCTCTGTGGCCTGCACAGCAGCTTCAGTTGGCAGGTGAGAGCTGCAGAAGGCTGGAGCAAGAGGCCTGACCTTGCATGTCGGCAGCCAGCTACTGATGCCAAGATCCTACCTGACCAAGGTGGGCAGGCCGGCGATGGCTTTCCCTAGCCAGAGTGAGACAGCAGCTTTCAACTCTGTGTCTAACTTGGCTGTTTAGGTTCAACTGCCTGATGTCCCTGGTCGGGTCCTCCCAGATTTTCTATCACCTCTGGCTATAGTGAGGGACGCTAACCCTAACCAGACAGTAAGAGACCTTTTCTGCCAACCAATTTTGGTTCCCTAAGCTGCACAGCCAAAGGTTAGAAGATGCTGACCCTAAAGCCTGCTAGAGAGTGAAGCCAACTTGGAGGAAACAGGGTTGAGAGATGCAAAATGAGCTTTTTGATGGCACTGTAATCAGCTGGAGCCAGCCACACCTGAAAGCCACTTATCCTAGCACGTGCTTTCACCTCTGCACACTGGAGAGGTGAGAGCACATGGCGGGGGAGCCGCCTCTTCAAACTCCCTCTACTGCTCTGGCCCCGACCCACAGAAGCTGCAGCTGGAGTCTAGCCTATCCCAGACGGAGCCCTTCTACTGTGGGCCATGTCTGTGCAAAGGGTAGGCCAAGGGGACTGGCTGGCTGAGGGCAGCAGCTGGTGTGGAAGGGACACAGTCAGCTGCTCCCAGGATAACTGGCTGCCTGACTGAAGTTTGCGGCTCTTCTCCAACAGCCACCAGAAACAAAGCCCCTTCCCACTTGCCGGAAGGACCCTTCCCCAGGGTGTCCTGGCACACTGCCCCACCAGAGTCATTGTTTCCCAGGTGCTAACTGCTCCTGGCTTCCTCCTCATCAGAAGGGTCAGAGTCTGCCCGGGTGACATAATGGTTTCCAATTGGCTCTGCTGAGATCCTGTGCTACCCAGGGGTGTGACTTGGTGTGGGACTGCAGTTTTTAGCCCTTAGGAGTCTGGGGAAGAGTGGGGGTGACACTTACAGAGAGCCGGCCTCCACGTTGGGGCCCCTCACATAGAAGGGGACTCGAATGTCAAACTCATACGGCATGGACTTCCCTTTCACCAGTCCAAACTGGCCGATGTGGTAGCCGTGGTCGGCAGTGTAGACGATGTAGGTGTTGTCCAGCTCGCCTGTTTCCACCAGCATGTTGTAAATCTGCAACCCAGGTCAGGAGCTGAGGTGTGGCAGGCCACGGGCCCTCTCCACCACTGACTGGAGTGAGTGACAAGGGGTTGGGTCCACCCCTGCTTTAGGTCACTTCCCAGCAGGACCCTGAGGTAACTCCCTGCCCCTCCAGGGTACTTTTCACCTTCTGTTTGTTACTTGTGGGATGCCTGTCACCTTGTTCCCTGACCACTGTGTCCCTTGTACACTGACCCTTACTTAATAAAGGTCAGTGAATGAAGAAAGAAGCTGGACATGGCCTGTGGCAGGTGTTTGTGAACTATGACAGTGCTGCCCAGCAGCAAAACTTTGTGACAGTGGCATCGTGAAAGACTGTGTTGCCCTGGGTGATGGCGCTAGCCCCTCGGCTGCTGGGTGCAGGAACTGTGGCCAGTGTGATGGAGGAGCCAGGTGTCATTACGATGGTATTTTTATGAATTTAAACTTAAGTAGCCAGGGGTAAAATGTGTCCCATACATCCACATGGTGGAATATGATCAGCAATAAAAGTGAATTGGAACACATACTATACCAAAAATCAACCTTGAAAAAACACTCTACTAAGTGAAAACAAAAACTCCAGTAGTAAAGGCTGTATAGTTTGTGACTTCATTTATGCAAAATGTTCAGAATACTAAATCCATGGAGGCTGAGCCCAGTGGTTGCAGGGGTAATGGTGTGTGTGTGATGTATGCATATGTGCATGTATGTGAGATTGGGGTTGGAGGGTCATGATGAAGTTGATGGGCTTTTTGAGGTGATGAAAATGTTCTCACATTAACTTGGAAGTGGCTCCACAACACTGTGAATATATTAAAACCATGGAGTTGTAGACTTTAGTTGGATGGCTTCAATATTCACTCAATAATGACTGTAATTACTGGTATATGAAGGAGATCCCAATAAAGCATGAAAGATGTAAATGACCGAAGGAAAGAGTAGCCACAAGTGGCTACTACAGGGTCAGCACAGATTGTGAATGGAAGTCTCATGAAGGTGGAGGTTGGCCTGGGTTGTTCTGAGCCACTTTCTTCTGTCTGGACAGCACCCTGGCATTTCCTCTTCCTGCCTCTGGCTGGAGGCCATCAGGCACAAGCAGGGAGGTCCTAGCCCTGGTGGCTGGGGTGTAGGCCACACCCAGGAGGGGGACCTACCGTCTCCATGGAGTCGTCCACAGACAGGAGGGTTTGGAGGCGCTTCCGCTGCAGCATGTTGGTGAACTCCATGTGGATGGGCTTCATGGGCCCCGTGTAGCGCATGATCCAGTGCTTGTCCGGGTTCGGTGCATAGTTGTAGCTCGGTGTGCTGGTGGAGACACACAGTGGTCAGGCCTACGTGCTTGGCCCGGATGCACCTCGGATGAGTGGCCAACACAGGTAGCTTGTTCTACTTGGGGATGAGGGACACTGTGTGTCAGGAGCCCTGCTAAACACATCTCAGCATGGCACAATATGTCAGAAGCCATTAGGAGGTAAAACACTGAATGACTTGGAACCACCATGTGAGAAAAGCTGTCCCTTTCCTGGTCTCTTACGCCAAAGCCTTAGCTTGGTGCTAGTCTTTCTGTGACACTCTCTGGGGTTTGCTCACCTCCCTTTTTAAAGAACACAAGGGGCCCAGTTCAGAGCCCCAGCAGGCCAGCTGGCTCTAATTTCCTAGAACAGCTGCTCTGCGAGTGGCCAGTGGTAGTCGCTGTGGGTAGGGGGTCTAGAGAATATCCTTCTGCAGTGGATTTTGGCTTAAAAGGGTAAGAGATGTATTTAAAGCTCAAATGCATTACAGTTATGCATATATGGCCCAAGTTCTGAGGCTAGCACCCAGATGCCCACATCAAGGATATGTCACTTTCCGTAACTGTCAAAAGTACTCTTCCAGTTGTTTAAGCCTCCCATTTACTAAAGAGCTGCTCAGAGGAGTTTGGGAGCAGCCTGGGGTCCACTGAGTGAGGAGCACAGCCCTGGGCTCTGGGCTTCTTGCCATGTGGCAGCTGTGATAATGAATGACATAGAACAAATACCTCGTGACCTCTACTGAGCGGCTGCTGGCACAGTCAAAGGGCTCAGCTTCTGTCATCTCATTTCACACAAGTCTGAGGAGCTGGCACTATTTTCACTCTCCCTGGCTGACTTGCCCCAGGCAGACACTGGGCTTGAACTCTGGCAGCTGGGATGGCCACCACCCCGTGCTAGCACCAAAGCCTGCTGACCCCAGGGCCAGTGGAGTCCTTCACATCACTGGTGCTGGGGCAAAATTGACTGAGAGGCTCCTGCTGGAGGACTAAGCAGCAGAAACACAAAGGCGGACTCAGCTACTGTCGGCATTCTGTGTGGTTCTGGTAACGCGTTTTCCATCCCGAAGCAAGAGCACCTTCTGTTGCCTCTGTTCATGCGGACCCGGGGATCTGAAGAACCGAAAACCTCACCAACATGCAGGGTCTCCGGGTGTGGTGCACCACTGCTGGGAAACAGTACTGCAACCGCGGAGAAGGTGGCCCCTCTCCTGGTGGCTCTGATGAAGCTGCAGCATCCCTGTCTCCCATGTGAAGACGAAGGGCTTTTCAGAATGGGTATCAAGGGGCAAGGGACTATGGGGGACGGGAGGTGGCTGGGCCTTGCCAGTGTGGGGGCAACTTTCCCCTTGCACCTAACACCTCAGCGCCACTGCAGATGTCAGATCGGTCTCAGGTAGACATGATGCTGCAGTGTTCAGCAGCCGACAGGAGACCGTTGCTATGTGAAGCGGGAGGAAGTCACAGCCTGGAGACTCCTTCTGGACTTTTCTGCAGATCTGTAGCCTCCTGCTGCTAAATCTTCGCTGGCCCATGCTTCCTTTGATTACAAGAGGGCTGCTCTCCCCTGCGGCCAGCTCAGGGCCTGACCTGTGTGTAGAACATTCCCGGGAACAAGGCCTCCTCCCCACTGAGGATCAGAAGGGAGGCTGCTGGGCGAGGTCGGCAGAGCCAGTGAGACTCATAGTTTGTCAAAGCTGTTCCCCAGGTTTAAAGGGGCTGGGCTCCTTTAGCAGTCATCCCTAATACCCTAGAAGACAGGATGGGGCTGCCTGCAGAGCAGGGCAGCTGTATCATCAGAAGTCACTGTGCAATGACTTTTGCAGTCTTTTCTGCAAAGGACCCCTTTGTGAGGCCAGAAGAATGAGCCATTTCGTGGGGGCCCATGCAGCTGGCTGGTTGCCTGCATCACAGGGCTCCCGCGTGGTCCCTCCACCTGCTGAGCAACCATGTGAAACTCTCATTGCCCTGGGCACTGGGGAGCAGCTCCTTCTTCCCTGAGCTGGCGGTGAGGAAGGGTGATGTGGCCCTCATGCTGTGTCTGCGAGGTGTGAATAACAGCCCCCAAACCCGCTAACCCCGGTTGCAACATAACTTGGGGGAGGAAAGAGGAGACCCTGAGCTCACTGGAAGGAAGCTCTGTGTGTTTATACATCTGAACGTTTGCCTGTGTGCATGTCTTTAACCTGTGTCTTTGTATCTGTGTGTTTGCATGCCTGTGCTTTTTGGTGTATATTTGCGTCTCTATGTGACTACATCTGTATTTGTCTTTGTGTACCTGTGGGTCTGTGTGTATCCCTTTGTGTGGATGCATTTGTATGTGCATGGTATATCTATGTGTCTGTACCCTGTGTATGCATGTGTACTATATATATGGCTTGCTGTTTCGGTGTCTGGCATGTATGTGGTTGTGTCTACACTTGAGTGTCTGCACAGGTGTGGCATGGGGAGGGGCAATGGGCTGACGGGTCAGGGCATGGTGGTGGTAGCAGCAGCAGCAGCAGTAGCATCTGTCAGCTGGGACAAGAGACAAGGCAGTCTTGCTGGGACAAGAGACATCTGATCAAACACTGCAACAGCTGTGCTGTACATGCGTGCTCTGTTCCCGTTCAGCCCTTCTTGACTGAATGAGATGTCATAATGAAATGTTCTAGCTGCTTTGTTTTTTGGTTTTTGTCTTGGATGTCATAATACCCCAGGGACAAAAGAGTCTTCCAAATTTGCCCCTAATGAGGCAAAGAGGATTCTCTGAGTATGCAAGAGTGGGTGGCTGCTCATTTTCAATTTCTGCAATTTTCATTTCAAAGGGACAATCAAGCAGGCACTGTCAAATGACCTCTTCACAAAACTCGGGGTTACCGGGGTGCAGCCACGCCCTCTTCTGTAGGAGCCGCAGCGGCGGTGGAGGGCCCTCCTTGCCTTTTGTCTCTGGGATGGGTGGCATGGACCATGGAAATCTTGGGTGGGAAAGGGAGGCTGGGGGATGCCTTCCTGGGGTGAGGGGAGCAGGAGCCAGGCAGTCTGCTGTGCAGAGGCGACACTGCCGGTGTGGGGCTGAAGGTGGCGCTGTGGCTCCAGGAAGGCGGTTGAGCATCCACTGTCAGCTTCCCTGCCCACCAGGGAGAGAAGGTAACACCCAAGCCTTATCCTCTCTGAGCCACTGTGGGTGCTGTTAGAAACCAATTACAGTGAGGGGAGCGAGGCAGACAATCTACCCTGATCTTGATGAAAATTAAACATTCTGAATATTCAGCAGATTCTAAATTGCCCTGTCCTTGTCATCCTGGAATAGCACAGCAAGGACTGCTGAGTATCATGGCTAAGTGGAGGTGGTTTGTGGTAGTGAAAAGCCAGAGTACTTTCCAGAAAGATATGTAGAGCCAACTGGATGGAGGTGGTCTAGAGGGGTGGGTAGAGATAGGACACACAGGTAGAGACTGGATTTGAATCCTACTCTGCCCATTCAGCAGCTGGGCGGCCCTTGGGTACCTGTTACCTCACTGCTCCATGCCTCAGTTTCCCCATCTGCAAAGTGGGAACACTATGTGTGACAGGCAGCCTTAAAGATGGCTCTTAATGATCCCCACTGCCTGGTCATCACAGCCCTACATGGACTGTGGTGTGAGCAATAGGATGTGGCAGTGTGATGGTGGTACTTTGACGTTAGGTTATAAAAGATGAAAGCTGCCACTTTGGCGTCTCTCTCTGGTTGTTTTCCCTGGAGCAAGCACTCCTAGGTTGTTCGGATACTCATGCGGCCTTGGAGAGGTCTAACATGGCACAAACCAGCCAGGAGGGCGAGCCCTGGGCAATGCACAGGCAGCAACAGTCCCGGCTGCCACCTCAACACAGCCTGAACCTCAGACCCTGAGCCAGGACTCAAGATGTGACTCCAAGGTTCCTGAATAACAGCCTGTTGCTTCATGCTGAACTTCTGATGACAGGGTCTGCGGCAATGGATGGCTGACAGACCAAGGCCCCCCGTGAGTACGATGGGACCTGATGCCATGTGATGAGGCATAGCATAGGGCCCGTCACAGCCAGCAGCTGGGGGAACTCGGGACCCCTTCTCTGAAGAATGTTCTTAAATGTCAGAACGAAAACTCACAGGCTCATAAGGGAAGCTTCCCACTGCTGTGCTTTCCATAGTTGTGGCAGGAGGACCTGGGTCCCAAGTTAAGAACTGTGCCTCCTGCTCTGCTCTGTACCCAGGCTGCCTGGATTTGGATCCCTGCATTGCCCCAGACAATGGTGCGTTCCTGGGGTCTCTACCCAGGAGGACTAGACAGGAGGCACAGGCACACCATCACTGTCCCACCTCAAGGTACCCAGTGGCTCTGCAGGCAGGCCTGAGCTTACATGTGCTGGGATGCATTGGGGAAGAGGCGTGAGTACTGCGGAGCCGAGTCCTCGGGCCCGTGGGGGGCAGCGTGGCTGATGACCATTAGGACCGGCCTGTGTGGGTACATCTTCTTGGACGTGCGGAAGAAGCTCACACTGTCGTTGGTGATGAGGTCTGTGAGGTAATCCTGGCGGGGAGAGAGGAGAACGGTGAGGAGCTGTGTATCCGGACTGAGTCCCCACATGAGGCAGGCATACAGCGGGGAACCAAACAAATCCTGTTCTGTGGAGCCGACAAGTCTAGGGGAGCAGGCAGGCAGTAAATCAGCAAGTGAAACATACAGGCTGGTGCGAAGCTCAGGAGGAGGCAGCAGAGCAGAGCTTAGGAGCACTGGGGAGGAACTGCCATTTGTCACTCCTTCATGAAAGACATTCAGAGGGTAACAGCTAACACCACTGAGTGCTTACGGTGCGCCAAGAACCACTCCGTTTGCTTGCATTAGCTCATCTAATGCACACACATCACAGAAAGTTGCTATGGTGACAGTTCTTATATTTCAAACAGGAAACAAAAGCACAGAGAAGTTTAGTGCATGGTCCAGTGTCACAAAGCTGGCATGCCCTGAGTGCCCTGCTGGGGACAGAAGCAGACAAACACGTGCATAAAGCACCAGGATTGTTACAAGGTGTGACAAATGAGGGGAAAGACAAGGAGATGTGACATCTGAGGTAACTGGGAGCTGGGGCGGGGAAGAGCCAGGGGGCCCGTTACAAGGAGGTGACAGCTGAGACTGAACGATGAGCAGGAGCTGGGTACAGGAAGAGCTGCGCCCCTGGACTTCACCACAGCCCCTGCTAGAGCCCTGGGGCTTCACTGATACCCAGGCCACGTGCTGTAGGTCTGTGGTGTGGCGCAGGGGACAGACTTTCTCAAAGCTCCCCAGCAGACTGCAGTGTGCAGCCAGGCTCGAGACACTGATCCTGAGGGAGCGTTCCTGGTGGAGGGAATTGCAAATGAAAGGCTGCATGGCAGACAGCCTAGGGCCAGAGAGCACAACAGGGTGGGGGCTGGCTCCTCACAGAGAGTAACAATGACAACAGGTAAAACAGGGACCTGAGAGGAGCAGCAGCGCACGCGTGCGCGCGCGCGCACACACACACACACACACACACACACACACACACGAAGGGGGGGGGCACACGGTAAGTTCCAGAAAACTGAGGAGCCAGCCTGTAGGAGCAGGAGGAAAAAGAGCTGGAGGAAAAGAGAACAGCCAGAAACTGAGGGCTTTAAAAGCTCAGCTAAGAGGCTGAGGTATGTATAAATGTTTTTAAGACTTAGTACCCCTTTAGCTGCTAATTCTTGCTGATGGTTTTGAGTTCTTGAAATTTATTCTGCTTCCTAAAAAGTACCTGCCCCGAAGTGTCACTTTTAAAAGTAGAAATTATTTTAGCAAGAAAAAAAAGGGAGGGGGGCATCAGCTTCCATCCTAAACTGGGAGACCACACGTACCCCCACTGTGATGGCTTCAGGCATGCAGCACACAGCTCAAGCACACAAGTCCTCTCTGCAAAGCACAGGGGTGACCATGAGTTGCTGCCTACAGTGCAGATGTACAGTGCATTGGCTAGCAGCAGAGGGGGACAGGTGACTGATAGGACTACTGTGTCACACCGTGCCACACAGAGCAGACTCTAACATGGACGTAAGTCTGTGACTACTGGCGTGAAAAGTTGTGCAAGATACCCTGTAAGTGAGGCCGAGTGACAGAGTAGAAGGCGGTAAGCAGATCAAAGAGAAGCCAAACTCCTGACCTTGAAGTTCTGAACATCAAGGAAAAACTTGGAAGGCTAGCAAGCAAGAACCAACTGAGCGCTGGGAAAAGGACTGGAAGGGCAGGATTCCACCTGCTACTTTATACACTTTTTCTTCAACTGTTTTTAATGGCACGCTCTTGAAAATGCTAAGAAAATGTTTTAGAAGAGGACTCTGTTAAATCTATCACAGAGAATACACTATATAAACTACAGAGTTGCTGCTCTAGTCACAGGCATAATCTAAAGGTTTTAGACTTTTTGTTTTTTTGAGACAGCTACATAGTTCAGACTGGTCGAACTCACTGTGTAGCCTAGATTGGCTTCAAATTCACAGTGATCCTTCTGCCTCAGCCTCCTGTGTTCTGAGATTATAGGGGTGCATCATCACACCCCGCTAGACATGTTCTTAAAGTGACAAAAGGGCCCACCAGCTGAAACCACTGCCTCTTGGTGGCATGGTGGGAGGAGGTCTGTTGCTCTTGGCCATCAAGCCACTTCACTGCTGGGCTTGAGAGCCAGGAAACTGTCAGCTGGGGGTTAGTTGCTTCCATGACTCCCCATTCCCAGGACAAAACATAACAATGGGCATGTACACAGTGACGGAGAATAAACCAGAGCCTCACAGATCAACATGGGACACACATGGCTTCATCTGACAATGGCTAATGTTCACAACATGGACAAGTCTTAAGCCATATTGGGTGAGACAGCATCACTTATACAATACAATATCTGGGATACCTGCCACTGACATAAAGCAATAAGCACCAAACTCAAACGGTCCTGGTCACGTCCAGGAGAAGCAGCGGGACAGCAGAGGAGAGGAGACCTGGGGAGGGAAGCTTAGGGCTCACCTGGGTTCTGACATTGTGGGTCCCACCTGCCTGCCTCTTAGGCAGGCTGAGAGGCTCAGGTGCTAATAGCCACTAAGCTCCTGCCACCACCCTGCACCGCTGCTCGTACACTCGTCCTTACAGTCCTGCCCAGAGGCCATCCTTTGCTTAGTCCCCCTTCATCTCCATCTGCCATGGCATCGGCATGTCCCTCGTTCCTCCCTCCATGTGGACTGGGTGGGGACCCTGGGAGGCCAACAAGAACTAGCCACTCCTCTGTCCTCATCGGGGACAGAGTGAAAGGCCAGGAGGTCTGGTGGTGGGGCCACTGCAGCCCTGACCAGAGGGATCAGCCCAAGCCGCTGGCTGGACTGAGGGGCAGTTAGGGTGGGCATGTAGCTCCCTGCCCCTGTTGGCATCTGGTTTGGTGCCTGGGGGAAGAGTACAGAATTGGGTCTAGGTGGCAGAAAGTGAGCAAGGATGGGGTAGTGTGTGTGTGTGTGTGTGTGTGTGTGTGTGTGTGTGCGCGCGCGTGTGTGTGTGCACGTGCATGCATGCACAGTTCCAATCTGGACAAGCTGGGCTTGGGGTGTGTGGGTGGGCCATGAGGGAAAATTTTGAGGTTCAATCAGGTGAGTAGGTGGGGAGCTTCGCTGGCCAGATTGCCCCTGGGGAGGTGCCCCCTGTCCATTCCCTGCTGGTGCCAGCCTCCCCCTCACATCCAGGGCAGGACACCCAGGGTGAGCAGGACCAGCTCTCGCACACCTCTGGCATGCCTGTGCAGGTGGGCTGCAATGCTAGGGCTTGGGACTGCTCCTGCCGGGGTTTGGAAGTGACAGCTGGAGAGAGCCAGGGTGGCTTGGGTACTGGCTCTGGGACCTTCCTAGGGGCACCCCCAATTGCCACTCACTGAACCAATGCTTCTGAGACTGCCACCCTCTGGCCCTAGGCTGATGGCTGCGTCTGCAGAGGGCTGGTGGGGCATGCAACTGTGGCAGGAGGTGCCATCATTCAAGGCTCAGCCCTCCCCATGGGGCCCTGTGTGGGTAAGTCCCTCACCACCCCCCAACTGTTTTATTTGCTAAAGACATGGCTGCTGCCCTCACTGAGCGAGATAAACGGTGCCCTCCAAGGCTGGATGTGGTGGTGGGTATGTCTATCTGCTGCTGCTGGGTGCTGTTTAGGCTGGGATGTCCTGGCTCCCTTAAGATCACCCCGGCTTCTGGAAAAGGTGAGCCCCGGTGGGGCCCTGCTCACGCCCTTGCCCCCCAGAAGCCTGAGGTCCTGCCTTGTTTGTATGTGGCTGAGACAAGGAATTCACCCCAAATCTCTCACACAGCATCTCCCCAAACTGGAGTCTCCTTGTTTCCAGGCCATTTTTTCTGCTTGGGAAGCCCCACGTGAGTCCCGGGGGTCACTGTAAGTCTGGGCCTGGACACCCAGGGCTGTGTGGGCCCGCCCTGGTGTGAGGGGTGCAGTGAGGTGGGGGGTGGCCTTATTTCAGCCATTTTTGCCCCCGCACGTCAGTCATTTAAGTCACTGGGAATAAAGGGTCTCCCTTTCCAGGGCTATTGGCTTCCAGAGGCTGGTCCACTGTTCACTGCAAATCACAGTGCCAACCCCCAGCCCCGGGCTTCCCAAGCAGTCTGTTTACCAAAAGATTTGCTTCCCTTTGAGGAGCAACCAGACTCCACATGGGTAGTTCTGGAGTCAGACAAATGGGGTTCATCTCAGCTTTACCACTTGTGGCTGGCGGGGGTGCCCCAGCCCCACGCTGTGAGACACTCAGAATCCGCACTTGGCAAAGTGTGCCTAGTGAACTATCCTGTCTTCAGATAGCGGGGTGAGTGCCGGGAACACAGTCTTCAGTAAAGCCGGCACCCCAAAGCCCATCCTGAAAAGAGCCCCACACTGTTATCATCCATGGAGTTGGCTGATCAGCCCACCAGCTTTGAGAAGTGGACATTGTACCCATCCTACAGATGGGGAAATGCAGGCTGCAGATTAAGCAGGGCACCCACAGCTAGTGCCCAAGCCTTGTGGGTGTCTCTTGTCCACCTTTTTACCCTCTAGCCCCAGAATTACTAGTGAGAGGTCACGTAAGGCAGTAGTTTTTAGCTGGCATCAGTCACACCTTCCTTTCAGTGTGGACAGGAAGGACAGAGGCACTGCAGGCTGTGAGGTCCCAGAGCCACACGGGCGGTGTGCACGGTTGAGTCTGTGCTCCAGGAAAGTTTTATGCAGACATTCAAGTTTTTTCCTTTCACGTGTTTTCATGTGTCATGAAAACTGTGATTAAAGAGAAGGCACAAAATCAACTCGCAACACAATTCTAAGCGTGGAACGCAGTCGCTAAGCACAGTGGAACCCACGCCTTGTGCATCCCTGGAACTTTACCCCTGTTAGCCAGTAACTGCCTTGCCCCTGCCCCCCCCCCCCTGGTGACCTTTTTCTTAAGCATTTCATGACTTTAGATTCCTCAGTTAAGAGGCAGCCGGTGTGGGGCATGCTCCTGTAACCCAGCACTACAGAGGATCGTCTCAACTTGGAGGCGAGCTTGTGCTGCATAGTTCAAAAGGCAGTCTGCACTACACGGGAGATCCTGTGTCAAAAAAACCCAAAGGAGTGGGGGAGAGGTGGCGCCTTTTTGTGTTTTTAGCACATTACTGCACTTAGCATGATGGCCTCAGTGTCCATCGGCATTTCTGCATGTGGTAGGACTGATTTTTTGTTAGTTTTTTGAGACAGGGTCTTTCTGTGTAATTCAGGATGCTTGTTGATCTCACTATGTAGCCCAGGCTGACCTCAAACTCACAGAGATCCTTCTGCCTCAGCCTCCTGAGTCCTGGGATTATTGGAATACCTGGAAGGCTGTTGGGGTTGACATGGCTCACTCTCCAGCTGACAGAACAGGAGATGGGGTGGGGTGTGTGTGTGTACACTGCAGGGAGGTGCTCTGAGGGTAACGCACGTTTACATCACTTTCTAGTGTGTAACACCATTAGGTGCTGGATTGTGAGCCCCACAAGGATGCTCAGTGGGTCTGCTTTTGTTGCCCTGAGTAGCTGGCACCCAAAGCAGTGGCTGGCACACAGAGGGCTCTCCATAAGTACTTGTGGGAGGAGTTGAATGAGTAATCACACTTGATCAGTGTGTTCACAGCTGTGAAGACAGGAAACGCTTCATATAAAACAGAACAGTGCCCAGCACGTAGTAGGTGTTCAACAAACAGAAATTCACTTTGTGAGGTGGGGTGTGCCCATCCCTCAGAGCCAAGCGGCCCTCAGGAGTGAGTGGTGTATGAAAGCGCCAGGGTGACACACAACACTGTCGGGGCTGGGGCTCCATGTGCGACACTCTGCCCAGTCCCTGAAGGTGGAGGTGGACAGACAGTGTGATTCATTAGAGACAGCAGCCCACAGGTCAGGCCTGGCTTGCTGTGCTGGATCCATGCAGGAGTTTACAAAGCACTGAATTTAGTTGCCAGGATTTGTGAATCTGCAGATTTCAGAGGTAAACAGTGTGAATCTGAGGTTTCTATTGAAAAATCGGAATGGCTGACTGTCCTGGGCCCACATTTCTACAGGGGCCTTGCCTGACGGCCCCCACTACTTCCTTTTGCTCCCCTGCTCCCACAAATGCCTGTCCTCGGGACTCTGGGGAACAATTCAGGAACTGCCACCATGGCCCTGATAATCCTGGGTCATCACAGTAGCCCAGGCCCGGGGCTGGTGGCAGTGAGGATGGGGAGCGGGTAGCAACGGCTCTGACAATGTGGACAGACTGTGTCAGCTATGTGCAAGCCACAGGGGCTCAGCATGTGTCCGGGCAGGGAGAGCGGACCATTGCACACGCTGTAGAAGTTCTGGACATGGGGAATACGGACGGCGGTCTCTCTCCCTTCTCATCACCACCACCATCATCTAAGCCAGGTCAGCAGGGCCTGCTGCTTGTTTCTGTAAACCCTGACACTGGCACACAGCTGCTGTGGCTGGATGTGTGATGTCCCCTGAAGGTCCCTGTATTGGTCCCCAGCCTGTGGCACTACTAGGAGGTGGTGGGAACTCTGAGGGGTGAGGCCTACAGGAAGGAAGTCGGATCACTGGGGACTCGTTCTTGAGGGGTCCTACACCCTGACCCTTCTGTTTTGCTCTGAGGTGGTAAAGAGGCCTCCTCCCATGATGTCCTGGGAAGCCCCAGGCCCAAATGACCATGGCAGGAAAGCTTGGAAACATGGGCCAAACGCCCTCCCCCTGTGCAAAGCTGATGACCTCAGGGGCTCCGTCAGCTACAGGGCATTGACACGGCCATGCCTGTTGCTGTTCATAGGATCACAGCTTCTCTGGTGGCGGAACTGGGAGGCTGCGAGACACTGCCTGATTGTAAAGCCTAAAATATTCACAGAATCTGTTCCTGCCCCAAGCGAAGCTACAATGCGCTGAGTGTTTACCATGTGCGAAGGGGCTCATCTCACGCTCTACACACACCTGGGCCTCAAACACCACAGTGACGAAACAAAACACAGCATCACTGCCTAACACAAGGTGGCTCTGATGACATCACCATGTGTGGATGAGGAATCTGGAGCCATGGGAACTCTGGGCGTTTTAGGGGGAAGCCTAAGCTGGCTCTGTTGCTGAAGGTATAGTGTGTCCCCACAAGTCCCATCAAGGAGGTCAGCGAGAGAAGCAGGTACAAATGTCACCTCAAGCCATGTACAAGGATATGCACGGAGGCTTAACTCTAGATGGATTCAAACGAGACAACTGAAAGCTCCTAAGGGTGTCAGAGGGACAAACCTCTTTTTTTTTTTGTCTTTTTGAGACAAGGTCTCACTATGCAGTTCAGGCTGGCCTTGAGCTCACTTGTAGCCCAGGCTGGTCTCCAACTCACAATGATCCTCCTGCCTCAGCCTCCTGAGTGCTGCATTATAGGTGTGGGCCATCATGCCTGGCAAAGAGGGACAAACTTCTTGTCTTCCATCTATGCAACAGAACACTACAGAGGTGCAGGGGACAGAGGAGGGCTAGGGGAATCTCACACCCATCCTGCTGAGCGGGAACAGCCAGGTGGGAAAGAGCATGGGTTCCAGAACAGGCAAAGACGACCTACACACTGGCGTCTGAGCAGAAGTTAGGATGGAGAGAGGCCTGGGGCGCCTCTTGGGGCTGGAGTGTTCCTGTCTCGAGCTAGGAAAGGCACGCAGACACAAAGGTTCATGGAGCTGCCCATGTAAGAGCCTCACACTTTACCATCTGTGAACTGAACTCAGAGGAACCGGAAACTACCGGAGAGGGGAGCGGCTTCAGCTGACATCCAGCAGCTCTGAACGGGCACCCACACTGCGCCCCGCAGCCCTGCTCCTGATATGTTACAGAGAGGGGCCCGGGCGTGGAGAGGTAGGCGGTACACTGTTCTGGCAGCTGTTCACAGCAGTCCTAAACTGGAAACACCACCACCCAGTGACCGTAAACCCAGCAGACAGCATGCTGCGGCGGAAGAGTGGACACACTGCCACGCAGGGCTCAGCCACACAGTGGATCCCAGCAGATGCCGCGCGGGAGGAGCCTGCACCGAGTTATCTGCAGCTGGGACGCTGGAGACCCCCTGAGGGATGGAGTGCGGGCAGCAGAGATGCGGGCGGCTCCGGGTCAGTGTCTCAGGGGTGCCACTCGAGGCGCAGAGCCCTGAGCCCGCTCCCTCCCTGCCCGCTGCGCCGCTTACCTTGGAGTAGTCAGAGCCGTGCTTCTCCTTCACCCCGTTCCGACACAGCGTGTAGTTGTAGAAGCGGGAGTTTTTCAGGAGTCCGACCCACTCCTTCCAGCCGGGCGGCACATACGAGCCGTTGTACTCGTTGAGGTACTTGCCGAAGAAAGCTGGGGAAGCAACATCAGAGGGCCCGTGAGAAGGCAGACAGCAGTTTCCCGCGGCTGCCGTGGGCCAGCACAGCCCAGGGACCCTTCAACCCCAGCACCAGGGGTTGAATCCAGGACCTTTTCACGAGCTACATCGCCAGCCTTTATTTTGAGACAGGGTCTCACTGAAGTTAGCAGACTGGGATCAAAGTTGCAATCCTCCTGCTTCAGCCTCCCACAGTGCTGGGATTCCAGGTGCACCACCACGCCTGGCCTGAGGGTAAACATGTTTGCAGTGTCTGGGACAACTGCAGTGATGGTTTTCCACGGGTGACAAAGTTACGGATTTTGCTGATACACTGATTTATGGCCTATGTTTACCCTGAAAGCAAAAGCTTAGTGTCAGTTGTAGGTTAATGCAAAATAAGAGAACTGCTCCCCATTCAGATTTAGGGAGACTGAACTGTACACACTACCGTGACCAGATGGCTAACAAAAACAGGTAACTACTGTCGTGTGGTAGTGGAGTCTCTCGTGCGCCGCTGCGGAGGTGCCAAGTGGTCCAACACGGTGGGACACTTTCAGGGTGTCCATTAAACTCGAACCCCTAACTTCTGATCTGGCCATGTGGAGAGAAAAGTTCCTGCTCGTTCACCCAAGGTAACACACAGAACAGGCTCCCAGGAGCACATTCGTAACAACCCAGAGCCAGAAACAACCCAGAAAACAACCCAGAGCCGCAAGCGGGGAAGGCAAGTCCTGCGTTCTTACAACATAGAAAGCTACGAAGACGTGAGAAATACCCAGTGCTGTCTTTGAGAGCACAGGCCCATCCTGACACCCCGATCCACACCCGGGGTGCAGGGCACCCTGCGTGATCCCCTTCAGAAACAGGCAAGAGAAACTCATGCACTGGCCGTGAAGACAGTGGTTATCCGGATACAGGGAGGAGGCGATGGGAGGGCAGGGGGCTTCCCTGGGTGGCCCTGGCCTGTTTCTTGGTCACACCAGTGGTTCTATTGGCAAAATCTCACTGGCCTGGATGTCTGGGGGTGCAGCACTTTCCCACACCCCTACTGTATATCACCAGGTAAGCTTGTGCAAAAAAAAAAAAAAAAAAAAATCCCTTTCTTTCAGGTAGTAAAATTTCTTTGGAAAAGCCCAGCCTGGTGGTGCGCGTCTGTAATCCTAGCACCCAGGAGGCTGAGGTAGGAGGACTGCCACGAGTTCAAGTCTAGCCTGAACTAAACAATGAGAGCCTGTCTAAAAAGCAGCCAACCAACCAACCAACCAACCAAACAAACAAACACATACAGAAGTCTCTTTGAGGATTAATAGGATCTTCTCAGTGACCTATCTTTGTATCTTCCTTCCATATGAGGGAGCAAACCCAGGGGCACCCCACCGTGAGCTCTCTCCGCAGCCCTCTGTACTCAGAGACAGCCTCCCTGAGTTGCAAGGTTGCCCAGGCTGGGCTCCACCTTGTGCTCCTCCTGCCTCAGCTTCCCAGAGTGCTGGGATTACAGCTGTGCGCCACTACACCCAGTTTAATAATCTTTTCTATTTCACTTACCCAGGAAGCATGTACATTTTTTAATAATTATGACTCACAAAGCCATTTTTAAGCAATGTGAGGGTTTGCCTGAGACTGAGGTCCTGGCCCAGCCTGTTCTCTCCCGACAGTGACGCTGCGTCCCTGAGACACTCGGAGATCACTGAGAGCGCAAGGCCATGAGCTTGGTGGCTGGAGGGATGCAAAGGGGTCTGTGCCCTGGGACCAGGGAGCACTCTGGGTGTCAACGCAGAACCTGAGATGGTGACAAGAGGCAGGGAGGCCCTCTAGGGCAGAGGGTGAGAGGGTGGGAGCTGGGCCTGAGGGCATCGCCCGGCATGCTGGAGCACACGGAGCCAGCACAGAGGCCGCGTGGCCTGAACGGGCTTCCTGGAGGCTTGCAGGTGGCTGGCACTGCCCAGGAGGGAGCCCAGGCAGTGGGCATGTGTGCCCCTGGGGTGCAGGAGGCCCCAAGGAAGCATTTCTGCGGAAGATCTGGGTGAGAGGGAGGTAAAAACAGGCAGGGAGGATCCCCAACAGCCGGCAGCCTGGGGGATGAGGAGCCTTTCCCGCGTGGGAGGGCAGAGCCAAAATAACCCAGAGAGCCTGGCACCGTCCTGGGAGGAGGTGGCGGGCACAGTGGCACCGTCTGAGTCCTGAGTTGTTTCCAGTATTTAAAGAGTGAGATGTAATTAGGTGGCAGGTGTCTCATTAAACAGCCACGAGTGTCCCTGGCTGGGTGTCAGGGAGGGAGTGACTGAGGTCCGGCCGGAGGCTGCGGCTGCGGGCCCGGGGGTGGGAGACAGCTGGCACTGTCTGGAGATCAGGGTCGCTGCCAACCCTCTGCCGATGCACAGGGCGATCTGATCACCTTGAAGATGACCCAGAACGCTGAAGTGGAGGAGCCCCGACGCCCAGCCCTCTGGTATTGACCTCTCGGTTCCTTGGGGTTGCATTGCGAGGGCCGAAGGGGCCCCTAGAGCGCAGATGTGGACCGGGGCCCTAAGAACCCTCATGACTTCGCTCCCCACCCTGACCTGGTCACCCCAGACTCCCGGCTCTCCACTCTTCCCTGCCCTGGGGACAGTGACACACGGGGTGGCCGGCAGGCCCTGGGAGGGGCCAGACGCCTCTGTGGCACCCACTCAGCCCTCCCAATGGGGTGAACAGAAGATAAACAAGTGGGGGGCTCTGAGCCCTAGCACAGGCAAAGGGCGGGTTTGGAGGGGCACACCACGCTTCCCTCCCTGTCCTTGTGGGAGGCAGCTGTTCACGGGAAATGGGGGTTCAGGAGCCTCTCGAGGTGGTGGGCTGCTCCCCGGACCTGAGCCTGGGGTCTGGTTAGGGTACCGGAGCGCTCAGGACAGGCTGGGCTGCCTGGCCTTGGTCAGATTCGCCAACCCCTGCCAAGGCGTCCTTGGGCCGCAGCCTCCTGGGTTTCCCTTTTCTGTTGGTTCAGCAAGGAAGGGGGTGAACTTTAACACCCGCTCCCTTGGCGCCCTGATGCTTCCTGTTTCTGCAATGACGCTTTGGTGATGATGGAGAAGTTTCCTTCAGAAACCACCGAAGTCAAGAGCCAAGCAAGAAAGATGTTACGTAAGTAACAGAATCGGTGGGTCCGGGGTGGGTGAAAAAATCACAGTGGCAGCCGAGGAGATGGGTGACTTGGGGCAACGTGGCCGGGGATTTACAGTTTCTCACGGCCTTCCGACAGCTGCAGCCAAGGGCGGGTGGCGCCGCGGTGTGTACACTACATGGCCTGTGCGGGCAGACTCTGCCGTGGAGGTTGGGTACACACACACCCTCTGTGATGTCCACACACCCAGCCACACACGTCTCAGCTCGTGTCCCGGTGTTATGGACACCTGTGCCGTGCAGAGGCTGCCACAGGCCGGGAAACACAGAGTGACGGAAGACAGTGCAGTGGTGGAACTGTGAGGGGGGAGAAGAAAGGAGAATGCGTGGGCAGAGTGGCACCCTGAGATGCTTCGAAGGGCACCTCTGGGCTGGGTACACAGAGGAGGCTTAAGGAATGATGAGAGGGAATCCATGGAGATAAGGGACAGGAGGGAAACTGTTCTGGGCATGGCAAACTTGGAGGTGCAAAGGTCCTGAGGTAGGAACAAGTGTGGGGGGTATCTGAGGAGCCTGAGGCAGACAGAGAGGGTGGGAGGTGGTGACCTCACTGGGATGAGGGCCCAGATCACACTGGGTCCTGGAGTCCACAATGAGGAGATACACATGTGTCCCGAGGCCTCTGTGCCAGGTTTTGTGTTTTATGTGTGTTTTCCCAGAAACACACCCACATTCAGAAAGGTACCCAGGACCACAAATCACTGGAGCTGCCTGGAAGTTTACAGCCTCCGTTGGCAGGAGCATGAGCTGGAGGGAAGGTCTGGGGCTCCTGCATGACCTCCTGAGCCCCTGCTCGTGACCCCCAGGTCCGGAGGCCTGGGCCTTCCTGGTGACCCTGGGGTTCCCTGCTCCCCCCATGGGGTCAGGTCCCCAGCTCTTCCTCCTCACAGAATCTCCGCCTGTCTCACCCCAATCCTTAGAAAACCCCGAGTTTATGATGCAGGCTCCACAAGGCTCCAGAAACAGGGCTTCAGTCAGAGGCTTTTAGTGCCAAATTAGGTTTTGCTCTCATTTGATTAGATTTCCCCAGGGCAGCTTTTAAAATGGTTACTGGGGCACCAGCAGAGGTGGGAGAAGCAAATGAGCTTGGGCCCCGGAGCTGGGGGCTCCAGCCAAGAGGAAGAGCTGCAAATAAAACCAAGATTAAGGCACAGCCTGAATCACGCTGGAGCTGGGAACCTGGGCTCGTGGAGCTGGCGGGCCGGGGGCTGCGAGGGGAGGGGAATGGGGTTGAGTTGGGGCAGAACAGCCCGGCAGCAGGAGAGGCTCACGGAGAGGCCACCGACACATGCTGGGGGCGCTGGCCCGAAGAAGCAGGCACCTGCAGAGGACAGGCATGGACAGTTTTACACTGCAGCCAAGACCTGTTTGGCTGACCTGGTCCTGACTGCGGTCGGTGGGTACAAGTTTCTTACTGAGTCAGGGGTGCAGAGGCTGAGCCTGACTCTAGAGATGGCCGGAGTCCTGTACTCGCATGTCAGAGTGCCACCTTTGTCTTCAACATTGCACGTGATTCAGGGACAGGCGTATGACCCAAGATGGGGCCAACTGGGGAGTGTCGGCCCTGGGATTTTAAGGAACCTGCTAGGAAAGAGAAGCTCTTAATCCTTGGGGCTAGAAGCTAGTGGGACAGAAGCCTGACACTGCTGGCAGCCGTTTTGTCACCAAGAGGGAGAGTCGGCTTGAGCATGAGGCAACCTAGAAAAAAGCAGAAGTGGGATGTGGAAGGTGGCCATGGAGAGGGACAGAGGATGCTGGTCTGAGCCCCTCTCATGGGAGCATTTTCAGTTATATTAGAGGTTTTCAGGCAAGGGCAGGAAACCGTCCCGGTCAT